ATGCAGTATCTTTCCATATGTTCTCTTGTAAGGACTGGGTTACTTCCCAGGGTTACTTCCCTTTAAGCCCTCTAAGCTGAATCTTGTGATGTGTTTAGGTGTATAGCTATGGATGGGCTAAAATACACTCTGTGCGTCGACATATATTGCAATGAGTACTCACACTTTGTGGGTGTGTATGAAGATATTGGGGTCAGGAATTTGTGCATGTCGCTAAGGCAAAAAAATAAAATAAAAAATGCAGCATTGTTAACCCAGTTTTATGGATGAGCAAAAAATAAGGCAGTGACATTGAGCCAGATTTTCAGAGGTGCTGAGTATCTGCAGCTCTCCTGGGCCACAGTTTAAATTGTGGAGATGCTGAATACCAACCCCTAAGGGACTTTTCCAAAGTTGCACCATGAGTCAGCTGCAGAGAGCCCAGAGCCCTCCCTTTGCAGTCTCCCCCCCTTGCACCTGTGTACCCTCTACAGGCAAAAGGGAGGACTCATATTTGAGTGGTTGACGCCCAAACAGGGAGATTTGGAAAATGTCTGGAAGATTTTCCAGTGTTGGCACAGCCTGAGAGGGGATTGTGCCTAAGGAAGAAGAAATCTGAATTACAGTTTGTATTTTCCTACGTACCGATCTGTCAGACTGGCAGTTTTATTGGCTGGTCACATCCAAAAGAATTGTTTCCCTTCCCGGGGCATTGCATGCGTGCCCAAAGTTACTGGAAGCCTGCACTGAACGCTCATTAGAGCACAGATGTATGTGCCCAGCCAGATCTAAGCAAAACTCCAAGTGTCCGGCCCCCATGGTCCTGTGTAAAATCTGGGCTGGTGTCTCCAAGGGTGGTCCCTCTGAAGTCCTGCTCAGGAACCCAGGCCAACAGTCATCTTGTATCCTGCACATCCTTCATTCTGTAGATTGTTGTAGTTTTCAAACAATGGGTCGTGACCCAGCACTGGGTGGTGGAATGTCAGGCGCTGGGTCTCCTGGCTGCAGGGGGATCAGATGAGCAGGAGAGGGGGGTGCTAAGGCAGCTCCCTGCCTGTCCTGGCACTGCAGACTGCGCTGCGCCCCAAAAGCGGTCGGCAGCAGGCCCGGCTGCTAGATTGGGGGGGACACACAGGGCTCCATGCACTGCCCCTGCCCTGAGCACTAGCTCTACACTCCTATTGGATGCCGGATGCTTCTGGGGCTCAGCAGGGTCTGCGGTACCAGGAGAGGCAGGAAGCTGCCTTAGCTTCCCTGCTGCACCCCTGACTGCTCAAGGTGTACCCCTCCTGCTCCAGCCCTGACCTCTCTCAAAGCCAGAGCTCCCTCCTGCACCCCAAAGCTCTCACTCTCAGCCCCACCCCGGAGCCCGCGCTCCAGTCCAATTCTGTCAGGTCGCAGCATCAACACGTTTCTTCAACTGGGTCATGAGAAAAAAAGTTTGAAAACCGCTGGCTCATTGCACCCCCCTTCTAGTCCAGTTGCACAGTGGCGAGAGAGAGGAAAGATTCCATCCCACCCCGGTCACGTGGACCAAGCCTCCTTTCCACGTGAGTCTCAAACTCTGGAACTTTTTTTTCATCAATTCTGTCAGGTCGCAGCATCAACACGTTTCTTCAACTGGGTCATGAGAAAAAAAGTTTGAAAACCGCTGGCTCATTGCACCCCCCTTCTAGTCCAGTTGCACAGTGGCGAGAGAGAGGAAAGATTCCATCCCACCCCGGTCACGTGGACCAAGCCTCCTTTCCACGTGAGTCTCAAACTCTGGAACTTTTTTTTCATGTCTTCATCCCATAGCTGGGTTACCAGATTTCCCAGCTGGTTTCAAAGCTGGCTTCCCAATGCCGCAAGAGACGGCTTGCCAACACCCCCTTCCATGCCCACAGTCATTCCGTTCCTGCGAACTGCAGCTTAGCCAGCTGTACTAACAGATATTAGGCTTTGCTTCTGCTCTACGGTGGGAGGTGAAATAATTTGCAGATGGATCCTGCTTGGGAAAAAACAACAACTTAGCTCATCATCCTCTTGCTGCCAACATTTTATTCCTCAGTCTAACTGAGCGGCTACATTTGATGGCACAATTTCGGTTAAGTGACAAAAAAAATCTCAATGCATTTTCCATGCTTCTTTTGCTCCTTTGATGCTATTTTTTAAGAGCTTTCATGAACTCATTCAATAACCTCTCGGGCAGTCTATGGAACTGTAAAGAGCATTTGTACTCTACGACCTTTCAAAATCCAGAATCTGTCAAGGGAGGTGGGATGACAAGAGGCCCAGGGCATTTCCTGGGTATTAATAACCAGTTTACCGGGAGCCTTTAATGCCAGCCAGATGTAAATACCTCAAGAAATTCCTCAGAATTAGATCATTATTTGCTGGCATTAGACGTTTGCTATTATACGGCAGACCCGTGTCCCTTGTCTGCTTGCAAAATTCATGTAACTTTTTGCATGGGTGTGGCGGGCTAGGAGTTTCCAGTGTAAACACTTTTAATGCTTGTATTTTTCTAATAAACAAAAAAACTGAGGCTGGAACAGCCAGTTCTCATGAGTTTAAATATGTTGTTCTGATCTCCGTTACACCGGCCTAAATCCGGAGTCACGTCAATGAAGTCCCTGTTCACTGAAGTCCATTTTATTCTTAATTTGCCCTAGTAAAATTTGGCCTCTTGGGGTATGTCTCTAGACTGCAACCCTCTGTCGGCAGAGGGGTGCAGATTAGGCAGGTCGATATTGCAAATGAGGCAGGGATTTAAATATCCCGTGCCTAATTTGCATGAAAATGGCCACCACATTTTGCTAGCTCAGCACTTTGTCTGCAAAAAGCGGCAGTCTAGAGGGGGATCTGTGGAGAAAGAAAGCGTTTTTTGACAGGTCCTGTAACCCTCCTTTCAGGAGGCATGAGGGATCTGTCAAAAAAGGCTTTTTTTCTCGACAGATCCCCCTCTCGACTGCCGGCGACAAAGCACCGAGTCTGCAAAACACGGCGGCCATTTTTATGAAAATTAGGCGCAGGATATTTAAAACCCCGCCTCAAACACGGTGGCCATGTTTATGCAAATTAGGCACGGGATATTGAAATCCCTGCCTCATTTGCAATGTCGACCTGCCTAATCTGCATCCCTCTGCCAACAGAGGGATGCAGTCTAGACATACCGTTGTTCATATTCCAAAGGAATTCTTCAGGAGCTGGTTGACGGGGCCACTTCTACCAAGATTTTCCGATGACAAAAAGAGCTAGGCACCTAATTCTCATTCCTTTCAATCCCAGACTTAGACTGTATGTTCCCGCTGGTTTCCTTATTTGCTCTTGATCCCCTGGCTGTGTGTGTTTGTTTCTAAAGGGGATGGTGACTTTGTTACTTTTCAACTATAACTGTGAGCTCCCTTTTAAACTCATTCCGGAGAGATTTCATTGGGGATGGGGATGGAGGGTGGACCAGAGCAGGAGTGGCTCGTGGAGACAGAGCTGTAGCTGTCCTAGAGCTGTAGCTGTCCTTTCAGCGTGAGCACACCACTAAATTCACACCCAACCCGGACAGATCATTTTTAAAACTCAACCCGATCGGAAATCAGGAATAATAAACCAAGCTTTGTTTTGGTTGTAAGTGGCAAAAACGTGAAATTTCATGGAAACTACAAAAGTAAAAACAAACACATTCAAATGTCTCTGTCCGACCTGCCATCTCCATTGGTTTGCCTAGCGTCTGGCATCCTTCTGTCTTTCAGGATGTTTGCCAGCAAGAGGAAGCACAGATACTGGGCTTACTCCATGGCCTGCTCCGGCAATGAAGCTCACATCTCCAGCTGCAAACTGGGCCCCCACCTCAGCATGGATGCCGAGCGGAACGTCACCTGTGAAAACGGCATGCCAGCCGTGGTGAGCTGGGACCCAGGACGTGCCTTTGCGCCCAGTGGCCACAGTGGCTTCCGAAGAGCCTACAGGCAGGCGGTAAGGAGACCGACTGCTCCAGCCATCCCACTGCCAAGAGCGTTGATTTTAGGGGTGGGTTAAACTGTGCAAATACCATCCACTACTGGACATTTGGAAATGTCACAAATCAAACTAGTTTCATCCAGCTCCAATAACAATGCAAATTAGTTTCAGTGCATGCAGTGAAGCTTCCTGTGAATCACACAACCATTGTTGTTCGAACATACAGACCCCAGGGGGATCCACAGAATTTCTGGGCCCCTGGGCAAGGTGGTGGAGGGGAGCCATCTCCATGCTTCTGGAAGGGGCGTGGCCTCAGGTGGAAGGGGCAGGGCTGGAGCTAGCCCCTCCCCCCCAACTATAGCGCTGGCTAGAACGTTTTTGAAACCCTGTGCAACACTGAGCAGAAAAAATAATATTGGGAAGGTGATGTAATTTATTTCCTCTTTTTTTTTTACCAACTCAGATATGTAATTATGTATTTATCATTTGTGTGAGGCCCCTCCCTGCATCCAGACTGCATTGTACTAGGTGTTGTACATACAGCGTCTGAGCTGTTGGACTCACCAATTAATTCTTAGTTTAAGTGCTCCTGTAGGCTCTGAACGTCCTTCAGCTGACCCCGGCCTGGAGGACTGTTTGTGTCTCCAGTTTTAAACAATGGAGGTTCTTAGGTCTCAGGCCTCACTCAAATCACGTACCATTCAGTTATTTAGGAAGCTTTCCAAAGTAATAGCACATCCTCCAGCTGCAACAGCTGTTTATCTGTCTCCTTAGAAGATAACGAGCAGCACTGGAAAAGGTTTGAATCGTCCCACAGACCAGTGCTGAGTTTATAAATAAAACTGAAAGTCTGTCCTGGTCTTGAACTAGCAACCCAGCCATAAGAGAGTCCTTAGCTTATTCCCAGGCTTCTTATATCTATCTATCTATACACACCTCATAGAGCTGGAAGGGACCTTGCAAGGTCATTAAGTCCAGTCCTTTACCCTCACAGCAAGACCAGGTACCATCCCTGACAGATTTGACCCACATCCCTAAATAGTCTCCTCAAGGATTGAACTTACAACCCTGCATTTAACAGGCCAATGCTCAAACCAATGAGCTATGTCTTTTCTGACTTATTGTGCCTCTTCCCCAGCCAGCCAGCTGAAAAACTGGGATGTCACTTTAACGCGAATGCCATCCCGCTTTTTAATCGAAATGGCAAATTTTGATTAAAAATGGCTGCTGGGATTTTTTAAAATAAAATATTAAACGCCAGCTCTCTAGCAGGCCAAGAACCTAACTAAGGTCTTTTCTTTGTCCTCCTCCCACTATTGCAGTAGCTAAGTACCTCATGATCTTTAACGCATTAATCATCCCAAACATCAATGAGACATGTCATCAAAACTGTGACAATGGTTGTGATGCGATGCTGTCACCTCAGTGCACCTCCAACCGTGACAGAGTTATTCTCAGAACTCCCCTGCGAGATAGGAGTATCATTATTAATTCTCATTTTGCAGATGGGGAAACTGAGGCACAGAGCAGCAGTGGCTTACCCAAGGTCTCACAGAGAGTCTGTGGCAGAGCCAGGAATAGCACCCAGCTCTCTTGCCTCCCTGTCTAGCACCTTAGCCACCAGACCACTCATCTGTCTTGCCTTGGTATTGAACTGTGGCTGGTAATTCCCCTCTGGCGTCATGGCTATGGTCTGTATGCTGACATGCAGTTAGTTTCAAAGCCAAAGATATTTGACTGATGCTGTGCTGTCTTGGCTTTTATCCTCCTGCCCACCCAATACAGGATTGCAGACATGTCTTTTGCCCTGCGTGCTATAATTATATTGGGTGTTTTCTTCTGCTGAGGTAAATATGTCTGTGTCCTTAAACCTCAGCAACATAACTGATTCCTGAGACGCCACCAGACAGTGGTGGAAAGTCTGGTGAGCTAACGAGTGGAACAGAGGATCTGTTTTCATGGCGCTGCGGGGACTTAAAGCGAATGTATTCTTGGGGAATTGCCGTAGTTTTTTCCCCGCTGTAAGCGTGAGGCAGGTGAGCTACTGTGGATTTCTACATACTCATGTCCCTTAAAATACAGTTCTTTGGGGAATCTCAAAGCACTTTAGATACCTAATAATGGAGCATTGCTACATCCCTGTGAGGTACTATTGGTAGAGTTTTCTAACGTTTTTTTTCTAAGCAAGAGATTCTTTTGTTAATCATAGTCCATTTTAAACAGGCGACATTTATTAAAAGAACAATTACATCTACGGGCAAGCAGGTTTCAACTTAGCTTGAGCTCCAGCCTTTTCTTACCTATTTTCCAGGGATCCCATTTAGTCTGGAAAAGCAGAGACCTCTAGTGACTGAATAATACACAGCGAGTAGCCAGGAAATAGGCACTTCCAGCGTTCTGAGGTGTGATTGATTCCTTGAGGTCGGGATCCTAGGGCAGAACACCCATGGACTTCAGTACAGGCAGGATGGGTCGAAGGGTAGATCCAGTGCAACTTTAAGGTCTAACCCACTGGGGTTAATGTTCTGGGACAGCGTGTTGCCATGTGACAAGGCTGCATTTATTCCACTACTAATGTGACTTAATCTGTAGCCTTTTGGAAGGGAGAATTTCCTCCACCTTCTGGGAAAGCACGGACACAGTGTCCTTGGATGATGCAGCGGTATTTGGTTTGTTTGGCTTCATTTTTATAGTTCTGAAGGGAGCGGATGTCCACGGGGGATCCGGGGCCCAACATTCTTCTCCGAATAGAATCCCTGGGCCAGATCTTTGGCTGGCGAAAAGTGCTGAAGTTCTGTTGACTTCAGTGAGGCGGCACCAGTTGATTGGCTCCTAGTCCTGAGTGTGTGTAAGGAATGTGTTTTCCATTTCACTCTGACTCTCCTTGTGTCCGTCTGCAGCAGGCAGGCCAAACGCTGCCCCGGCTGAGCCAGGATTCCACAGGGAGGGCCCGTCACAGTCTAACATTCTTTGCTGTCTCTCTAGGGAGGGCTGCCAACCCTGCAGGGTTGTCCTGGGGCCTCCAGGACAGCCATGAATCTTTAATTAGAGCGCGCCATGTGACGAAACCTCCAGGAAAGGGTCCAAGCCAAAACTGGCAGCCCTGCGCCTGCAACGTGCTCAGCCACACGCGGTGGCGGGTAACCAGCATGCTGGCTGGCTGTGGGAACGGACACCCGTTCCAAGCCTCTGACCCCGCCCTCTTGGGGACGTAGTCTGAGGGTTGATTTGTGTGCCGCCAGCCCTGTTCCTGTGTGCCGCTGTCTCCCAGCTGTTTGTGCCCTGGGCGTGAAAGGGCCTACCTATGCCCTCTTTGCTCCCAAACCCCTGCCCCAGAACAGCACAAAATAAGATTCTAACGCATCTTCTACCCTACTGCATTCATTGGGACAATGGAAAAGCAAAACACACGTGTGTGCATCATGAACCTTGGAGCGAACCCTTTCCTGAGGCGTGGGAGTATACACTGAAGGGGACCTCTCTCCCCCCTCCACCTCTTGAAATAAGTGTGAGCACAGCCGGTCTCCTTAACCCTGGCAGCCCCTGACAGCTGCTTGCTGTAGACTCCCCATCCAGAATGGAATTCAGCTTAGATCAGTATTTCTCAAACTGTGCTCCATGGAGCCCTCTCCAGGGGTCCCACGAGGTTGACAAACTGGAAACATCGATGGGTACAACACATACAATCAGTGGACTGCTGGGGCGCCGCATACATTTTTACGCATGTAAAGGGCTCCGGAGCCCAAAAAGTTTGAGAACCGCTGGCTTAGATGAACACTAATGGTACTCCAAAGAGAGGGCCCGTCGCGGCCGTTCTGGGGTTAAGAGGCTCACTACGTGCTCCGTGTTTTCAGAAGCGATTGTGTTGTGTGGGTGGGACAAAAATCGGGTCCTCAAAAGTTTTCCTGTCTGAAAATTTGTGTTCACGCGGTCAAGATTATTAGCACGTTGGGAAGTCACATGGCGCGCGGGCCGAACGTTCCCATAGCAACTCACCGCAGCTGCGTCCATAGACAGTGATGTGGCCTCTGGGTTTTTGTATTACAGCAGCCCCAGGTGCGGCTGAGAGGCGGGGCCAAGGCTGGAGAAGGCAGAGTGGAAGTGCTGAAGAACGGGGAATGGGGAACAGTTTGCAGCGATGGGTGGAATCTGATTACGGCCACTGTGCTCTGCCGAGAGATGGGCTACGGGAGCGCCCAGGAGGCTATCACAGGCGCGAGGCTCGGGCAAGGTAAGAAGGACGAGGATGTCAAGGGCTGTCGGCTCGGACCGCTGCCAAGGGATGTGAAATTAGACAAGGCTGAATTTATCTTTCCGGCTTGTCTTTTCCACTTTAGTAGTGTCCTGGGCCGGATCCTGAGGCCCACAGCTCCCACTGAAATCGTTAGCAGAGGGGTCATTGGACGTCAGCGAATGGCAGGAAGAGCCAGTCGGAAACTGGATGTTCAGGCTGCAGGAAATACAGGTTGGATCTCCCTGGTCCGGCACCCTCGGGTTGAGGGATTTTGCCGGACCGGGGAGGTCCTCTGCCGCCAGCTTCCTAGCCTGTCCCTCCCTGCTGCCGACCCGGCTGGAGAGCCCTGACTTCAGGAGATCCATGGCCTCCTCTAACCCCACTACTGCCAGCCCTGCCAGGAATCCCCAGTAGCCACTGGCAGCCGGCCATGGCTCTTTGATCCAGCAACATGTTGCTGGAGAAAAGAGGCCCGGATTTGAGTGGTTGAACCAACAACAACCTTTTTTGGAAAAACTCTGAGTGCACCTTGGCCCCCAAAGCCTGAGAGAACGTGTCTGCAAGATCCAGCGTATTAGAACAGTCCATAGGAAGCCAATCCTGTGCCTCCGGGCTCACATGAGTAGTTTCACCAAACCTAACAGCCTGAGTTAGGTTTACAGGCTCCTATGCAGCCGCATACAGTCACTGCCTTACCCAGAAAACATACAGCCTTGTTTTTCAGTTCTATCAGCAACTTTCAGCACCGGCTGCCCTGCAACATGGAAACATTCCCGTGACAAAGGGGGTCTCTGTTTGACATGCAGAGTCAGCAAAGAGACATAACAGAGGATGAAATTTGCGGAACAAATCCAAGAGCCAGGTCCCTGCTTCTTTTCCCCTCCCTTTTTTTTCTCTCACATCTTTGGTTTTTATTTTTCCTGGGGTTTTTTTTGTAAGGGAGGACGTATGGCCCAATCCATCTGGCAGTCCTGGGCAAAATGTAACCATCAGGCTACCTGATCTGTTTGCCAGATGACAGAACGAGTGTGTCAATTTCACCCTCTCCGGAGGTCACACGCCAGAAGGATTTTAATATAAAAGAGGAAGCAGAACAGGCAGAGGTGCATTCTCTTTCCATTGCTCGTCTCTCTTGCTTATTTTTATTTTTACCTTTTTAATGTGTAAAGCCTGCCATTGGCTTCTGTACACATATTGGCCAAACTATTGAGAGCTATCGGCAAGCTAGGAATGTAGGCTCACAGAGTTTTAGGAGCCTGAGATAGAAATGCCCTTTTGGATTATCAGGCCCATCTTCTTCCCTTTTCGTCATCTTCCTAATCCAGGGTTGTTCCCCCCAGGATATGGCCTGGTGCTTGGCACAGTGTAGTTGATATAACATTCTAAGTGTCTTCCCTTCCCTGGACCTCATACTAATTACACCACCCACCCTTTGGGAAGGGAATTGGAAGTGCAGCACACCCAAAAGTTGTCCTTATAGCCTCTGATGTATACGAAACATCTCATTCCAATAAAAACACTGCAAGGAGAGGGAGGGGAGGTTTGCAATTTCCGTTATAATTAGGAACTTACTGGGGAGCTCTGTTTTCAGACTATTCCACGCCGTGCACATGGTAATGCCAGAGTCCCACCTAGAAGCATTGCAACATGCACTGAAAAAAGGCTTTTTCTGTTGGACAAAATCCCCCTCCTCGGCCCTCTTCCAATCAACAGTGTTGGCCAAAGGCCTCCGAAAACTTGGGGACATGTTTCGGAGGGGTAGTCACGTTAGTCTGTGTCAGCAAAAACAGGGAGTCTAGTAGCACTGTAAAGCAGGGCTGCTCAACGTTGGAATCCCTGGGGGCCACAATGATACTCACAGAACATGCCGAAGGCTGCAAAGTGTGGTTGCATAGACATGCAAATATATATGCAAATATATGCAAATAGCTTCTTTCACACTGACGGGCATGAATACAAAAATGTAGGCAAGACTACACAACACGCAGGCCCCATTTAAGTAAGTTCTGCTGATATTAATAAAATGTAATATTAACCTGATTTCCACCCATATGACAGCACTTTTAGGCGATGTCTACACTGGCGGGTTCTTGCGCAAGAACATCTTGCTCAAGGGTTCTTGTGCAAGAGCTCTTATGGCTATGTCTACACGCGTGGCTTCTTGTGCAAGTACGGCCGTTCTTGCTCAAGGATCCGTGGAGCGTCCGCCCTGCCCACCCGCTCTTGCACAAGGAAATTTACAGTACGGCGTGGTAACAGAGGGCTTCTTGAGCAAGAGCTACGCTCTTTCTTAACAGGTGTCAGCCCTCTTGCACAGGAGCTCTTGCGCAAGAGGGCCGTGTGGACACTGGGAAGGGATTTCTTGCGCAAGGAAGTCCTATGGCTAAAATGGCCATCAGAGCTTTCTTGCGCAAGAGAGCCTCCACACTGCCACAGGCACTCTTGTGCAAAAGCACAGCTCGCACATGGCAGTGTGGACGTTTTCTTGCACAAGAACCCTTGCACAAGATGTTCTTGCGCAAGAAACCGCCAGGGTAGACATAGCCACTGAGCAATGACAGGCTAGGAATTTAACTACTAAAATGCATATCAACAGGAGACCATTATATTGATTCCTTTTTTGTTTTGGCTTCCACCTGTGGGCTGCATGTTGAACCCCTGCATAAACCCAAACTGCACCACAGACTGCAAACAAAAGGGATGTAAACTGCATACAGCCCACAGACTGAATAGTCCTGCTTTGAAGACTAACACATTTCTAGAGCATAAGTTTTCATAAAATACCAATCACTTCTTCAGACGCTTGAAGTCATCTGAAAGGTGGGGATACAGAGATGGGAGTGTAACCTTAGTGCTAATTGAGTCAGTGTGGGTGTGGCTCACCTCCAGGAATGATGGGAAGATGAGAGTATCAGAAGGGGAAATTACTTATGGTAATGCGACAGCCATTCCATGTTCAGAGATGTACATTCCATGTCTCTATTCCTAATCACGGGTCTGAATGGGGAGCAGTGCATGATGGGTAATATTCAAATGAGGGATCCTACTGAGAGCTGAGTGAAATAGTTGCATAAAACCTATCCAATCTGGAACGGTCCACAGACCCCAGAAATGGGCGTGATTGTGGGCAAGATCAAACTGTCCCTGATTCTTGAGCTTTTTGACAGAGGGTTAATTTCACTTTCTGCCCATGTCGATTACAAGCAGGATTTTAATACGATAAAGAGGTAAAAACCAGAACAAACACATCCTCCCTTTTCCTCCATCATTAGTTTTCTTTTTTAAAAAATTCTATGCTCTCTTGAAACACCAAAATACGGAGTTACAAGTGTCAGGAAAAAGAACAAGCAGGATGTCAAGTCAGATGATTTAACTGGTTCTGTCTCTCACCTCCGTCAGGTGAAACTGGTCTGCCCCAGGGCAGGAGGGATAAGGGGCTTAGAGGAGCGGAGGATAGAAAAAATGCTTCAGAATTCTGCTACTATGCCCCTCTCTGTCATGACACAGCAGAAGTCTGAACAGGTGGTGAGCGCTCCAGATGGATGCTGAACCTCTAACCACAGAGCTGTCTGCATGTCTGAACCTCAGCCGTTCCCACCTCTACTTTCAGGCTAGCAGTAGGGTGGCGGTAGGAGCTTTCTAAGACTGAGCCCCCACCCTGCTGTTAAACTACTTACCCACCCCTGCATTCCTGAGTCAGCCCTTCCCTTTGAGGGTCAGATTAAAAGGACCAGCTGTGTAGCTGGAGAAGCTCCTCTTTAATGAGGCCCAAACAAGGAGGATCCTGTGGTTAAGGCATTGGACTCAAGAGAGCTGTAGTTCCCAGCTTCCTGCCACAGATGACCTGGATGACCTTGGGCAAGTCCTTTAATTGCTCTGTTTCTCAATTCCCCATCTGTAACATGATGGATGAGGCTATTGCCTTTGGTCCGTAAAGATGACAAACTTGTCAGGGCAGGGACTCTCTCTTAGGGTATGTCTACACTACCCTGCTAGTTCGAACTAGGAGGGTAATGTAGGCATACCGCACTTGCAAATGAAGCCTGGGATTTGAATTTCCCGGGCTTCATTTGCATAAGCGGGGAGCCGCCATTTTTAAAACCCCTCTGGTTCGAACCCCGTTCCACGAGGTGTACCGGTAGTTCGGAATAGGAAGCCTAGTCCCAACTACCTAGTTCGAGCCCCGTGTAGCCCCGTGTAGTCGAGACTACATGCCTCTGTCGGAAGAAGCTGTTTTGAAAGATTCTTTTGAAAAAGTTTCTTTCGAAAGAAGCGTGTAGTCTAGATGTACCCTTTGAGATGACTTGTTGCAGCTGGGTTTTTCTAAGGGTCTGCGTACTTTATTTTTGTACCCTCGCGCCTGTACATAGGTCCCCAATTTAAAATGGCAGGGCTTGATCAGCTACAGATTCCGGTCTGATAAAACCAGCCAAATCCCTGGGTCATATTTTTAAAATTTCTCCAGCCGAACTTGGTAAATTACAGAGCAATGGAAACTTGGCTTTGCCTTTCTTTCTGGCACATTTGAAAAATTTAGACTATTGGAAATAATTTCTCTCTCAACAGTAAAAACAAGCAGCAAGATGACCTTCGCAGAAGCCAAGTCCTTGTTTACCGTTTGAATAAAAGAATTAAAAGAATAGAAACTTTTACTGATTTTTCATTTCCCTCTATTTGCGGGCTGCCTGGGAAATGACTGCTCTGTATTTTATTCTCTTAAAGGAATGGGTCCCATTCACCTAAGTGAAATACACTGTACGGGCTTTGAGAAATCCATCACAGACTGCAAGTTCAACACCGGGTCGGTGAATTGTGGCCATGAAGAAGATGCTGGTGTAAGGTGCAACATTCCAGCCATGGGTTACCAGAATCAGGTAAGAAGCCAAACTAGGTGTTTAACTAACCTGCTCCTAAATATCTCCAGCGACGGAGATTCCACAACCTCCTGGGCAATTGATTCCAGTGTTTAACCACCCTGACAGTGAGGACTTTTTTCCTAATGTCCAACCTAAACCCCCTTTGATGCAATTTAAGCCCATTGCTTCTTGTCCTAAATTTGATATGGCCTGCAGCAAGTCTGAGCACCATGCCTTCTATCCCCTCTCCCCACATGGGGAAGCCCTGAGCCACAGCACACGCCCCCAGCCATGGGGCTGGACATGGTGCACACTGAGTTAAATGGGAATGAAAGATGGTGGGGAGGCTGTTTGTTCACTTCTCCTTCGACAGCAGGTGAGTAGTAAAGGTGTGTGTGGGGGTAGGGGGGGTCCCTACCCCTATTCTAAATGATTCAGAGAATGGTTGGGGAGGGAAACAGAAATACTAATAAGGACATTGAAAGATGTGCTAAGATTTGCCAAGCTGAGTTTATTAACGCCACCATGAAAAGTGCTAGAAAAACGCCAGGGACTATCTTCTTTATTATTATTTTGCGACCTACCTTCCCAGTGTTTAATAAATATTAATAATTCCAGCCTGTCCTGTAGTTTGTGTAGGCCCCTGCGTGGCATGACACTTGAGACACTGCTGTAATGCAAGGAACAAGTCCCCCAGTCCAAACTTAGTCCCCATTGTGTTAGGTGCTGTACAAACCCAGTCAGAGACAGGATCTGCCCAGAAGCATTTACTAGCTAATATAATAAGAAAAGACAATAAGTAGCTGTTAATATGAATTTAAAAGGGACAGAAACCCTCCTATTTCCAGGCTTAAACTGACCTGAAAGAAAACTTTCCTGGGGGGAGGGTCTGTTACCCTAAAACTGTCTCCTGCCTAGTGTCTTATGTAACCCACACACCTAGGTTATGTCTACACTCGCGGCTTCTTGTGCAAGAACATCTTGTGCAAGGGTTCTTGTGCAAGAAAACATCCACACTGCCATGTGCGCGCTGTGCTTTTGCGCAAGAGCTCTCGTGGCAGTGTGGACTCTCTCTTGCGCAAGAAAGCTCCGACGGCTATGTTAGCCATAGGGCTTTCTTGCGCAAGAAATCCCTGCCAAGCGTCCACACTGCCCTCTTGCGCAAGAGCTCCTGTGCAAGAGGACTGACACCTGTTAAAAAAGAGCATAGCTCTTGTGCAAGAAGCCCTCTCTTACTACGCTGTACTGTAAATTTCCTTGTGCAAGAGCGGGTGGGCAGTGTGGATGCTCTGCGGATTCTTGAGCAACAATGGCCATACTTGCGCAAGAAGCCACGAGTGTAGACATAGCCCAAGTGTGGTTCACAGTCCCGTGCAGTGGCATCTAGACCACTGCAATAGATAAGAACAAGAGACCTCTACAGCATGGGCTAAGCGCCAGCTGGCTTTATAGCTCAGGATACGTCTATACGACAGGCTTCTTGCGCAAGAAGCTTTTTGTGGAAGAGATCTTCCACAAAAACTTCTTGTACAAGAGCATGTCCACACTGCAAAAGCGGTAGTGTAGACCTAGCTTGAGAGGCTCCTTTAGTAAGCTTCAGAGATCCTAGGTTCAAACCTGCCTGGTGGCAGTTACACTTGCACCCGTGTCAACTAATGCAAGATATTGGGGAATAGACAGTTTTAGGGTAACAAACCCCTTTCCCCCTGTGGAAATGTCTCCTCTCTGTGAGGTGCACTTTAGGTGGAAAGGAGCAACGTTTCCCATTATCATAGCCCTGGCTGTGTCTAGACTGGCCAGTTTTTCCAGAAAATCAGCCGCTTTTCCGGAAAAACTTGCCAGCTGTCTACACTGGCCGCTTGAATTTCTGCAAGAACACTGACGATCTCCTGTAAGATTGTCAGTGTTCTTGCGGAAGTACTATTCTGCTCCCGTTCAGGCAAAAGCCCCTTTTGCAGAAAGCTTTTGCGCAAAAGGGCCAGTGTAGACAGCTCAGATTTGTTTTCCGCAAAAAAGCCCCAATCGTGAAAATGGCGATCGGGGCTTTTTTGCACAAAAGTGCGTCTAGATTGGCACGGACGCTTTTCCACAAAAAGTGCCAATCTAGACGTTCTGTTCCGAAAATGCTTTTAACGGAAAATCATGCCATTCTAGACGCAGCCCCTGTGTTTAGCCACAAAGCAGGTACAGCACAGACCGCTACTGTTAAACAGGAGTCTGGACTGGATGGATCTGATATAGGCAGGTGATACCTATTGTTCCGAAGGCAGACAAAGGGTTAGAGGAGGAAATATCACCGTGCCCACGTCACAGGTGTAGTGTAGAACTGACCTGACTTGCCCAAAGTCGCACGCCGAGTCAGTGACAGGAACCAGGAATTGAGCCAGATCTCCTGCGTCCCAGTCCAACAGACCCCAATGCGGCTAGCAGGGCCTGCCCACAACATTTTGGCACCTGAGGCGGGGAGCTCAAATGATGCCCCCTCGCCTGGGCCAAAACTTTGAAAGGTCTCTTGTGCCCTCCTTCCTCCAGCCCAGCACTCCCCCATCTCTGTGCATCTAGAGCAGAGAGGATACATCTGCACCAGCAGCAGACATAATTTTCTATACTCTGGGTCCTAGTATCGCCCCTTCAGTCTGGCACCTGAGGCGGCCGCCTCAGTTCGCCTCATGGTAGGGCCGGCCTTGTGGCTTCCTTGCCAACTATCCCATGGGCCGCCAGCTGGGAATGTCCTTTTTGGAATCGTTCACTGGGAGGGGAGGCCTGCCGCCTGCCCCAGCCAACCTGCGTCCGCTCCTCTGCTGGGAAAGGCCAGGCAGACGCTCTCCGAGAGCTGACCACGTCGTTTCTCTCACGGCAGCCAACCCCTTCGAGGGCCGGGTGGAAATCCTCGTGAAGCGCAACGGCACGCTGAAGTGGGGGACTATTTGCAGCCAAAACTGGACCATCGTGGAGGCCATGGTGGCGTGTCCGCCTTTCAGGTACCTCTCCTCTCTGCGGCGTGCGCGCTGGGGGGAGAGAAGCGAGGGTTCCTCAGGCCTGGGAGTATCCATGGAGCAGGTACAGCACAGGCAGCATCCGGGCATGCTTCCACACACTACCCTGCCAGCGTACGTCAACCCTGCACAAGCAGAGTCCTGAGTCGCTTGCCCTCAGGCAGGAATGGCAGAGGTGCCAAGGAAATAAACCCTCTGGAAGCCTCACTGCATTATATCGCAGCCTGGCAGTTTTGGACCCCTTTTTCTGCTAGTTTCTCTTGCACAATTTGGGCCCAGGGCAGCTGCATCCATCTAACACCGTCCTCCCCCCATCGCCCAGCTCTGTTGACACAGCCCCAACCGGCCTGTGTGAAACAAGATCTGGTTCTTGAGTCGGGGCCGCCGGTAGTTAGACTAGAAAAAGGCTTTATTCAGGTCCCGGGTGCGTTACACACCCAAACATAAAGCAGCCCTGTGGGGAACAGAAGATAGTAGTGTGCATGGATGGGTGCATGCAATAGGGCATTGCTAACTAGGTTAACGAGACGTGTGTTGCAACAGCAGCCAGGGTACAGACCGTTCTTTCTCTGCCTGGAACGCATTCCCACCTTTGATACTTGCACATAGCTCAGAATAAGGGGGTTTTTACTTTGCCCCTTGCAGATGCCACCAGAGTTGGGTTCTTCGCCAAGAGACAGAAACCCTGGGACTACCAGGCAGGGCAAATCCCTACCAAGGGAACCGGCTGGATGGGATCTAGCAGCATTACTTTCTGCTGCTTTGTCCGTTGCCAATGACTTTGGGGGTTAGGTGGACACTACCCACTATACGCACAGCATCTTTCCCCTGCAGATCTCCACAGTAGCAAGATGGGGGGATGTGCTTGGAGGTGCCCATAGTAAGAGACAGTGCCGTCCCTGAAAAGCTTTCCGTTTTAATAAGAAAGAGAGAGGAAGAGGAAACATCAGCTGTCTCTTACAGGCAGGGACTGAAGAGATTGTGACTTGCCCGTGGTGTCACGGGAAGCGAGAAGCAGAGCCAGAAACTGAATCTAGATCTTTTCGAGACCCAGATGGGGGCTTTCGGAGCTAGACCCTCCTGCCTCTTAAACCACTGAGTCTCGTAAGTGCCCTGTGAGGCTGTAAAATGTACAATATCTGTTTTAGGCAAACTGAGCCCAGAGTCACACCGGTGGAAGTAGGCTGAGGGATGAGATCTTCAAAGCTGTCCACACATGGCCTGTTAATTCCAACTCCTGTGAACTGCTTAGAAAATCTCAGCTCAGGAAGCCTGGGTTCTAGCCCACTCCACCCCCGGGAGACGCGCCCCTCCCTGTCTGGTTCCTAGCACACAGGACTTCACAATATTGGGATACAGCAAGCTGCTCTCCCGGCCTGTGCCACGTTGGAGCTTTGGGGAGTTGAGGGCTTAAGGCTCAGCCCTTCAATCCATGGCTCCTCCCAGAGGCATTTCACCAGTTCGTTTCTGACCAGAAGGCTGGTGCTGAGCTGGCAGCATCTCTGCCTCTCCCCGGGCCAGCCTGGCTCCGAGTTGTCTCTCTCCTAGTCACACTGCAGCAATCTGGACTCCGGCTGGAGCATCCTCCCCGAAGTGCAGACATTGCGAGGCAGCTGTGGTTTATTTGCTGGGCTCCCATCCCAATAGACTGAGAGGATGAATTCATAAACTGGACGGGTCAGGCTGGGGGGAGAGGTGGACGCAGAGTCGGACTGCAGCAAAGCGGAATTTAAACATAACCACAAACAAGGGGAGCCACGTTTAACTCTGAGCCATATACTCTAGGGCTACGTCTACACTGGCACGCTTTTCCGGAAATGCTTAAAACGGAACAGTTTTCCGTTATAAGTATTTCCGGAAAAAGCACGTCTACATTGGCAGGATGCTTTTCCGGAAAAGCACTTTTTCCGGAAAAGCGTCCGTGGCCAATGTAGACACGCTTTTCCGGAAAAAAGCCCCGATTGTCATTTTCGCGATCGGGGCTTTTTTGCGGAAAACACTACTGTGCTGTCTACACTGGCCCTTTTCCGGAACAGTTTTTCCGGAAAAGGACTTTTGCCCGAATGGGAGCAGCATAGTTTTTCTGGAAAAACACTGACAATTTTACAGTAGATCGTCATTGCTTTTCCGGAAAAGCAAGTGGCCAGTGTAGACAACTGGCAAGTTATTCCGGAAAAGTGGCTGCTTTTCCAGAATAAGCGGCCCAGTGTAGACACAGCCTAGGGGTCTACTCTCAGCTCTGGGAAGGAAGTGTCATTGCTTGCCTGAGAACAGGGGACTGGGTGTCAGATCCCTTCACTTTTATTCTCTTCTCTGCAACATAGTCATTGGGTGGCCTTTGGCAAGTCATTTAACCTCAGTTAAATTGTACCTCTGTTTCCCCTGTCTCTATAGCGCAGCTAACATCTCCCAGGCAGTTGTGAAGATTAACTAGTTAAAAGTCTATACCGTGCTTTTTGTTCCTGTAAAGTATTTGGTATTATCAGCAGACAGGTATCGGATTGGCTCAGCTAGCCGAATGGCTTCACCACAGCCACAAAAAGCAGGATGCGCCATTTTCTATAGTACCACCAGTAACAATTCCAGTTCATTTTATAGGGATTGCTACACAGTGGTTCTATCTACACTGCACGGATTGATGCACAACGGAGTGAATTCAGGCTGGTATAGTGCAACACCCCTATCACGAGGGCGGAGTGCACACTCGTGCACAAATAGAGAGTTCTATTGACTGAGGACATGAAATCTTGTGTCTGTGTCAGGGCAACTTGCTGTTAACCTGTGACTGAAGAGCCCCATCTCTGACCAGGGTGAAAAGCCCTAGCAGGCCCCTACTATAGGATTCAATGGGTCAGTGCGTTTACAGCCACAGCTGGAGCACCGGGATGTCAGGGAATATTGTTAGATGTTTAGAGAGCGAGCGTGTTATTGTTTCCTCCTTTTCAAAAGGGAAAAAGAACTTTTCCCCCCTACTAAATGGGCACTAATTCCCCTTTCACGCCACGGATGGTGACACGTGGTTTTGTAGCTTCCTGCACAGCAGCGGCTGCTCAGACACTCAGGTACCAGTCTGAAACGGAATTCCCAGCCAGCTCGTTAAACGAGAAATGGCTCCTGACTAATGCTTCCGCAGGTCCCTGAAAGGGGCGGGGCCTCAGGCAGAAGGGGCGGGGCCTCGGGCAGAAGGGGCAGGGCCTATCAGCAGGACACAGAAGCAATGCTGAACCATTCAGGACTGTGGTTATCGCCTTCGTCTTTGAAGGCCGGGAAAGAGGTTTTCAAATCTGACTGGTGCTTTTGGCTGCCCATGCTCTCAGGACTGTGATTATCGCCTTCGTCTTTGAAGGCCGGGGAAGAGGTTTTCAAATCTGACTGGTGCTTTTGGCTGCCCAACTTGTGAGCACTTAAAGGGAAAGGGAGCTGAGTTTTGGCACTGTGCTGAGCACCCTCCCTCACTTCTGAAAATCAGTCCCCTTTAAGGTGATTCAAGCTTAGCAACCAAAACCACCGGTCCCTTTCGGAAATCTTGACCCAGGATTCAAACCTGGGTCTCCCCTGTGCAGCTGCACATTAACCAGCTGACCGGATTTCTGAAACGAATCCATCTGCCCCAAAACGACAGAGATGGGGACTTCCGAGAGCTCCCCGAATAAGCATTGCCTCTAAGTCCGTGGCGTCCAGCCCGCTAGCCACATAGGGCTATTTGGCCGGTGGAGCGTGGCTAGTTGGCCATTGCTCTTTCAGAACTGGTTGGCTCCAAATGATTTGCTTTGAGGGGGGCACCACCTCTCCAGGCAGAGGAAAAGGGCTCATCTGCTCCTTCCCAATATGAGCTGCAAACGTGCATTTCACTGGCCCCAAACCCTGCTGCTGTCGCATGCCACAGTCTGCCTTGTCCACACTAGCCATTTACTCCAGGGGGCTTTTCGGGATTTGTTGCTAACTTGCATCTCAGAATCCACCGGCGGGGTCTGCCCTCCTCTGACCCAGGCCGGGGCGTCCGCTCTACGAGGAGCCACGCGCCCCTGCCGCTCGGTCACCGCCAGCCCCGGGCACCAACCGACCCATCTCCGTCCGTCTCCCTAGGAAACGTGGTACTGGTACGGCGACGTCAGCGCCCACGACGTGGTCATGAGCGGCGTGAAGTGCTCTGGGACGGAGATGACGCTGGCGCAATGCCGGCACGATGGCGCCCAGGTGTTGTGCCCCAGAGGTGGTGGTCCTTATGCTGCAGGGATTTCCTGCACAGACAGTGAGTTGCCGGAGTTTCTCCTTTGTGTGGTCGAGAGCCACGGAAAAGGGGCACGGATCAAGGGCCTCTCTTGGGTTGTGTGGGAGGAAAGAGGGAGGCTCATGCCCATCAGTTGGGCCAGAAAGCTGGTTTAACTTGCTGGCAAACTTCAGAAGCAACTGATTGGTGAATAAAGAGTTAAGTGTTCCAAGCACAATGGTAGGGACCAGCGTTTCCTGTAAGCACTTGGACAGCCACCCAGGAGAGATTCACATGCCGCCCAGCTGACTGGCAGAGCACCCACAGCTGACCACAGCCAGCAGCATATGCTTCTATTTGGTGGTGCACATCTGCACATGCCTGGGTGCACAGAACAAAATGTATTCTGCACATAGATGGAAAAACTTCGAGGGAACATTGGTAGAGACTTAGTTTTCTATCTGGTGTTCAGTTAATTGATTTTCTTCTTTCTCTCTCATGCCCCTTCTTCACTCTCTACTTTCAATCCATCCTCTGCTCCTCTATAATCACTTTCTCCCTCCTCTCCCTGGCTTGGCTTTACCCCTTTGATGCGTCTATACTGGCAAGATCTTGCGCAAAAGCAGCTGCTTTTGCACAAAAACTTGCCAGCTGTCTACACTGGCCGCTTGAATTTGCGCAAGAGCACTGACTTTGTATGTATAAAATCAGTGCTTCTTGCGCAAATACTTTCACGCTCCCGCTTGGGAAAAAGCCCTCTTGCGCAAGAGGGCCAGTGTAGACAGGGAAGAACTGTTTTGCACAAAAAAGCCCCGCTGGCTAAAATGGCGATCGGGGCTTTCTTGCGCAAAATCGCATCTAGACTGACCACGGATGCTTTTCTGCAAAAGCATCCGTGCCAATCTAGACGCACTTTTGCGGAAATACTTTTAACAGAAAAACTTTTCCGTTAAAAGTATTTCTGCAAAATCATGTCAGTCTAGATGCAGCCCTTGGGTTTGAAACAGCCTCCTATATCCCACATGCCCTGTTTCTCCTCCTCCTCCAAACCCACGTGTTTGCCACTGCTCCTTACCTGGTGTATGGTATCTTGTACAGCAAACCTTGGCTTCAAACCATGCAGAGTTTGTGCTGCCCTCTCTCAGAGCATACAAAGGGGCAGCTCTGTCAACAGCTGCTAGGGGAGTGTGACATGAGTGGCACGCCACTGCGCTGGCATGGATCGCTCTCAAGGCATTCTCCTTTTTTCTTTTCCCCACCCCCAGCTGCCTCGGACCTGGTGATCAATGCCGAAGTGGTGCAGCGAACCGCCTACGTGGAGGACCGCCCGATGATCATGCTGCAGTGCGCGCTCGAGGAGAACTGCCTGGCCACCTCAGCCGTCAACACATCCATCTCCTCCGGGCACAGGCGGCTCCTCCGCTTCTCCTCCCAGATCCACAACAACGGGCAGGCAGACTTCCGCCCCAAGAACGGCCGCCACGCCTGGGTGTGGCACGACTGTCACAAGTGAGTGCGCCAGTTTCGCAGTCCGAACGCACACTCCCGCGCGGCTGATCCTTGCTGCAGACAGGCCTGTGTCCAGGAGGAAATGAACTGAGACCCACAAAGAGCACTCACTGGCCTCTTGTAGATATCGGTGCCCGTATCACTGCCCCGCACGCCACAGCTATGCAGGCTTCATGGAGACAGCTGGGATAGAAATCAACTCCATCTGCATCAAAAGCACAGGCCTAGAGCTAAAGGAGACTCTCCTTAACAGTAGAGGGCCTATGACACACACTAGAGCACTTATGATTCCAGCCAATAGTAAATAAATATACTGTTTATTACAGTATATCACTGCAGCCAGGTAGCACAATTGCTTAGAATCTTGTCGTGGCTTGCGTTACTGAGAAATCAGTTACTGAAGAACACCAGAAGTAGCCTGCACTGAGATGTTCCTGGGTAAAATTCCTTATCGTCTCATGGATTATGCAAAGGGCACATAATCTTTGTTCTAAACCAAGAATCCTAGGACTGGATGAGACCTCAGGTTTTCTAGTCTAGTCCTCTGCACTCACAGCAGGACTAAGTATTATCTGGTCCATCCCTGACAAGTGTTTATCTAACCTACTCTTTAAAACTTGCACGATGGAAAGTCCACACCTCTGTAAACAATTTATTCCAGCGTTTAACCACCGACAGGAAGAATCTCCTAATGTCCAACTCCAATGGAAGCCCATTGCTTCTTGTCCTAGCCTCAGATTAAGGAGAACAGTTTTTCTCTCTCCTCCTTGTAACAATTTGAAAACAGCCTCAGGAGCGGCCCGTGACTATAGACCGACTCGGCCATCGCCTAGGGTGCCGCCTTCAGCGGGATGCCCGATGATGACATCACTCCGCCAGCTGCCGCAGCCCACCTCAAGGCGCTCCTGGTTAGCCTCCCTCCCTCTCCCGCCCTCAGTCTTCTCTAGACTAAGCAAACCAAATATTTTCAAAAACAACAAGAAGTCCTGTGGCACTTTATAGACTAACAGATTCATTGGAGCATAAGCTTCTGTGGGCAAAGACCCACTTTGTCAGAAGCAACCGTGCACACCTCATATTTGTAGGAATAACGGATCTTTCAAAAAAGGGGTTTTTTTCCTCGAGAGAACCGTGTCTAGACTACTTTCTTTTTCAAAAGAAGCTCTTTCGAAAAAGCGATCAGAAGAAGATATGCAAATTTGCGCCAAATTTGCACATCTTCTTTTGAAAGCAAAAGCAAGTCTAGACATGCCCAAAATGAACAGGAGACCCTGCATGGTAGATGGAAAGGGAAACCGGCTTGTGGTTTTCCAATAGAGAGGAAACCCGCATGCCCTTGTGCCGTAGCTTTTGGTACCCTACTGGAGACAGGTTTCTACCATCTGCCAAACCAGAAGTGAGCAATTATAGGGTGAGATCACTTGGGAAGACTAGATGCTTCAGCAAGACAGCACCTTGCAAAGGGACTCTTCTAACTGACCCACTCCAACAGCTTCCAGACCCTACGTGGTCCTACACATGGCTTGCCGGCTCTGTTCTTCAGGCTTCAGAAGTTGGCTGTTTCTCAAGGTGGCTATACTATGAAATATCCCTATTATTACATAGGGCTAATATCACGTATGGCCCAATCGAATCTAAGCAATGAGACGGGCAGCTCAGAAGCAGCACCACTCTGTATTTTCTTGAAGAGGTCTTCAACGAAATGAGGCAAGGAAGAGGCGTGAGGCTATCGGTGTGCTTGAGACCGGATTCTGTTTACACAGAGGAACATGAACTCCATTCCTCCTCCATCTTTCCAGCCAGTAAACACTGTAATATAAACACCAGTTTGAATGAGGCAGACATATTTTAAGACCTGAGTCAGACCCACGACTTTTTTTTTTTTTTCAGGGGAAGCAGCCAAAATAGACGACTTCAAAATCAATAGCTTTGGCCACCACAGAATTCTTTTTTTTTTTTTTTTTTTGGAAGAAGTATCTTATTGATTTGCAGTTAAATCAAGTGTGAGCGTGGACAGACAGAAAAGCCACTAATGTCCAGGTGAAGGGAAACTTAAGAACATTTGGCAGTGATTTCAATGACAGCAATTTTGGAAGGTGGGAGGGGGGTTTCCTATAGGAAAAAATGCCTTTGTTGCTTCTGTAAGCACATTTGAGTTAAATGAATACACACCCAGACTGGTGTGGCAAACATCTGACAGGACGTATTAAGTAGCACCGTTTACTGAGCAGCCTTGATTTATTTGTACAGCCAGCCAGCTAGTTCTGCTTTCCGTTAAACCCTAAACCACGCTCCAGCAGGATGGTTTGAATTAGGCTCTGCGCAGCTGTCCCAACACTGCTATCGGTTCTGTACAGACGGATCCCTGGGCCCATTCAATGTACTCCTGAAATCAATGGGGTTCAACACTAATCTGCTTGCAGGGACCACCTGGCAAGATTTGGGGCCCAGTGCTCACCACCATGATAACTGAGGGATGTTAAATCCCAGTTAATCAGTTAACCGGTTAAACATTAGGGTTGCCTAGCATTGAACTGGTTAATCGACCTTAGGGTTGCCTAGCGTTGAACTGGTTAATCAACTGAAGTAGGATCCCAGGCTGGGGACCATTCCAGCCCGGCTGGACCAGCTCCCAGCCCCCACACTGGGACTGAGGCCAGCTCTGTTGGCTCCCAGTCCCCATCAGAGCAGCCCCTGTCTGCGGCAGGCAGGGAGATGCTCCAGCCCCCGTTACCGGTTAAATGGAACCAGTAGGTGCGGGTGATGCTCATAACTGGATAACCAGTTAACCTTCCACATCCCTAGTTGCATCTATGCTAGCAACAACCGTGTTCTAGCAACACAGCTCTACCGCTGGTTCCCAGGACGGGACGGGGGATACATTCTGATCTGTCAAGCCCCAAGTGATTAAGCCCTGACTGAGCTAAGCCCATGCTTAACGTTAAGCACATGCTTACGTCCCTCTGCATTCAGCAGAGCACTTACACACACGTCCCGCTGGCTTCTGCTGGACTTAAGCACGTGCTCCAGTTTAACCATGTACTTTGCTGAACCAGTGGCGCCCTGCAGGGAATTCATTCTGGGACCAGCACAACCCAAGCGGTGCCATGGCTGGGGAGCGGGCATCGCTCTCCGACACACAGACACAGACACACACACACACACAAAATCCACAACGACAGTGACGCTGCACGGAGCTGAAACTCGTCAGCTAGCTGCGCAGACTGGAGGACGCCGACTCTACCGGCAGCTCACCATGTAACTGAACCCAACTAGCCTGTTTGGAGCCGAGTGAAACGAGCTCAAAGAAACGTGCTCCTTGCCGCTGTTAGTGTCCTGCCAGGGTTATTTTTAACAGAGAAAAATCCCACGCACTGGATGGGTAGGCCGAGTATGGTGGGTACCCTCTGAACGAGGGGGGTATTCTGGCTGAGATGCACGCGTAGGCCCATCATGCTCAGCCATCAGCTGTTTAATGTGTTGATCCTCACGACATCCTGATGAGGAAGGGAAGCGTTTATCCCGGTTTTACAGGAGAACGGAGGCTCAGAGTCTGACTTGCCCAAGGTCCCCTAAGATGCCTGGGTCCTGCCGTGAGGGCAGGGGTCTTGACTCGATGCCCTCTAGCGGCCCCTTCCCGTTCTAGTGTTCTATGATTCTATAGGCCTGTGGCTGCAGATCAGGGAGTTAATCCCATAGGTTAACCCTTCCTCTTTAGGGATGACACGGGGTTTTTAAGATGGCAGCCATGCTAACTAAAGCCTGTTGTGTCTTTGTGTGTCTCAGCCACTATCACAGCATGGAGGTTTAACCTCAACGGTACCAAGGTGGCGGAAGGACACAAAGCCAGTTTCTGTTTGGAAGACATCGAGTGCGAACAAGGTAACCGCGCTCTAGCCACGTAGTGCGGGAAGTCTGTGCCGGGACTCGACTGGCAACCCGGCCACACAGACACAGCCATTCCCTTAGCCGGGAGAATCCAGACTTGCGCCTCCAAGAGCAGCGATTGTTCTTAAGGCTGAGGAGAACAATGCTTCCTGGCCTTCGATAAGCTGATGTCCATAGGTGCTTGCAAAAGGGTCCTAATACCATTTCACTAAGGCTACATCTACACTGTCCCTCTCTTGCGCAAACACATATGCAAATGAGGCAAAGCGTGGAATATCGCTGCGCCTCATTTGCATAATTAATGAGGCTCCATTTTTGCACAAAAAGCAGCTGTCTACACAGTTCCTTTTTGCGCAAAACGCCCCCTCTTGCGCAAGAGCCGTTCTTCCGCATTTTCTTCCAGAAGAACGGCTCTTGCACAAGAGGGGGGTTTTGCGCAGAAAGGAAACGTCTACACAGCTCCTTTTTGCGCAAAAGTCTCTTGCGCAAACACAGCGCCTCATTAATTATGCAAATGAGGTGCAGCGATATTCCACGCTTCACTTCATTTGCATATGTTTTTGCGCAAGAGAGGGGCAGTGCAGACATAGCCTAAGAATGACGAGCTTCTGGAGACAGATTTTTAAAAAGAATTTAGCTCATTGTGTGTTTTGAAAATCCGGCCTGACAGTTCTGATACTTCTAAGATGCAGACTTGGGCGATTAGGTAGCGAAAATATATTCTATATACTTGTCCCCAGGCATTGGCACCTGTACCCACCCCTGTAGACTTCATGGCTCAGGAACTGTTATAGCTGTAACATTTTGGAGGAAACGTTAAAGTCTCTTGAGGGAGTTAAAAAAACACCGATACTTCCTACCTGAGAAGTGCTAACCTTCTCTCCTGTATACATTCCAACTCACGTATTTACATTCCGATGTCCTAAAACATCCCCCCTCGGAATTCCAAAAGGACACAGAACCAGTGTTCCCTGTAAGCTGTGTGGCCACTCAGGCAAGATTGGAACGCTGATTAGCACAGTGCCCACAGCGAGGGCTTTGTGGTTTTGCTGCGGGTGCACATTTGCACATGCCTTAAAAAAATGTACTCTGCCCCAGGGATGGAAAAAATATGCATAGGCATGGAAATTGTAGCATTGCGCCCTGCAGTCACAAATACCCCCGCATTTCTACCCCAGAAGGCGCTGCTTTTCAGGGGCCTTCGAGTTTATTCGGCGCTTTGGGATGGAAGCACTACCCCAAATATAACATTCGCCTCCGGAGCACTGTGTCTCCGTGGAGGAACTGTACCCGTTGTGATCTGACCTGTACTCTGGATCCACCCCTCTTTCCTCGCTAGGTGTGAAGAAAGAGTACCTCTGCGCTAATTTTGGGGAGCAAGGAATCACCGTTGGTTGCTGGGATGTCTATCGGCATGATATTGACTGCCAGTGGATCGACATTACCGACGTCCCGCCAGGATCTTACATATTCATGGTACATGGGGACTGCGATGTGGGAAACTGAGGTCTCTTGTCTACTGCTGTCTAGCAAAACAACTGGTCACCTTTCTATCCAGTTTAGGTGACTTTTTCAGGTCAGCTCAAGGTAGCAGGGCCAGTCACACTAGACCATGGGTTCCCAAACTGGGGGGGCATGAAGAAATTCCAGGGGGGCCATGAGGCAAGCTGCCCCAGTCAGTTCCTTTTTTTTTTTGGCTCAACAAGTTTTGCTGTTGGGGGTAGGAAGTGAGGGTTTTTCAAAAATCAAAAAGGGGGCGTGATGCCGAAAAGTTTGGGAACCACTGCACTAGACAGACATGAAATCATTTGCAAATCATTTGCATCGGCACCTTATTTTGAATACTGTACTGGTCCAGCTTTCTACAAGAAATGCATAAGTAGTTTTAGGAGGACAAACTATCCACCCCCCTCCACACACACCAATAGCATTGTCTGCATGGGGGTGGTTCCATTAGTGAAAAGAAGCCAGACCATTCCCAAGCACTCTTTGCAGCTGTAATGTTGCGGAGGGCAACCAAAATGATGAGGGGGCTGGAGCACATGACTTATGAGGAGAGGCTGAGGGACTTGGGTCTGTTTAGTCTGCAGAAGAGAAGAGTGAGGGGGGATTTGAGAGCAGCCTGCAACTTCCTGAAGGGGGGTTCCAAAGAGGATGGAGAGAGGCTGTTCTCAGTAGTGACAGATGGCAGAACAAGGAGCAATGTCTCAAGTTGTGGTGGGAGAGGGCCAGGTTGGATATTAGGAAAAACTATTTCGCTAGGAGGGTGGTGAAGCACTGGAATGGGTTACCTAGGGAAGTAGTGGAGTCTCCATCCCTAGAGGTGTTTAAGTCTCGGCTTGACAAAGCCCTGGCTGGGTTGATTTAGTTGGGATTGGTCCTGCCTAGAACAGGGGGCTGGACTTGATGACTTTCTGAGGTCTCTTCCAGTTCTGTGGTTCTATGATTCTATGAATATGGGGGCTACCTCAGTCACCTTCCCTTTATGCTACTTTCACTTCCTATTGTGGACTGAAATGAAAACCAACCACGTAAAGGCTGAAAAAGCTAAAACCTTCCACATACGTTAGAGCGGAGAGAAGGCTTTTTGTAGCGACAGCTGCCCCATTAAATGCAACGAAGTCTCCCCTGAATACACTGGCAGAGAGGAGTAATTTACTCACTTTATTTGGTTGTGTTAGTTTTGAGGCATGCACAGTGTCTTCAATCGGGGTGGACAATACTCGCTTCTTGTGGGCACTGTCCCGCATGTGAATAGTAGTGCCATCAAATGTGAAAAATCATCCTCCCTGTGAAACATTTTCCGTGTCCACAGAAACCACTTGTGATATAGCAAAGAGTTTTACAGAACTTACCAACACCAATACTTACAGGACTTACCATTGCAGCTGGGCAGAAAACAGAAGCTGAAAAGTCATAGGGGAAATGGCATGCTTTTTTGTATGCTGGCCTGCGCGTCTTAATTTCTTGCATTCCTGGAGAACCTTGCGGCCCTAGCCACGTAACAGGACTCTGCACAAAGACCATTTTCTACGCCAGTTACAGTTCCCAGAGCATCGTTCAACATTTCCATGATGTTTTTTACCCTTTCTCCAGGTGAGGATTAACCCCAACTATGACGTTGCGGAATCGGATTATACCAACAACGTGATGAGCTGCAAGTGCCAATACGACGGCACGCGCATCTGGATGCACGATTGCCATATAGGTGAGCAGAACCTTGCGGGAAGCAGCGCTGTTCTAAAGCCAGGTATCGCTAGGACAGGCAGCAGGTGCCACAGGTTAAGAGCCGCCAGGTTCTGCTTCTGTCGCTAACTTGCTGTGCCGTGGGGGGCCCGTCCCTGAGCAGCGATTCCTGTTCCCACCCAGCTAAGATGCTATGGGTCCAGCATAGGAGGAAAGTAAGAGGCAATTCTTAAAGCGCCGGGCGAGGTGCACCCTCCAGGGGTTAAGTGTACTCCTCCCCTTGACTCCTTCAGTGGTATATTAATTGAAACTGAGCGATATGCCTAATAGAATTCAATAGCCTAAAGCTGCAGTGGGGAAGCTAAGGCTTGCCTGGATCTGGTCTCTGAGGCTTGCGGGGCTCTCCCTCAGCATTGGGGAGCTGACGCTGGTGCCCCTGCTGGAGCACACAAAATCCACTAGCCTGGGCCCAACTGATTTTTTTCTGTGGGTCAGCCACCCCTGACTACCCCTAAAGCCACCCCTGCCGCGGGCCCTAAAGGTAGGCAATGACTTTAGAGCCACATTCAGAAACCCCAGGGGGCGGAAGAAGTCTGTTTTAGCAGAGAGGAGTAATTTACTCCATTGATTTGGTTTGTTGCTCATCAGCCTTTCATGTCAGAGGCATGATTTACACAGTCTTGAGTGATACCTTGCTGATGACACCTGGTTCTCTCTGCCTCTCACAGGTGGCTCCATAAGCCAAGACACACAACAGAGTCAGTTCAATGGACTCACAAATAACCAAGTGTCTACTTGGTAGACCAGCCGGCCTCCCATCATCTATTTAAAGGAAGCAGGGATGCCTCTTTGTGACTTCCCTAACCACTGCACAGGAAAAGAAACCAAGTAAACTACCATGGACTTTCCTTAGCATTGTAAGTTATTCTCAGTGATACTCTCCACACAGAGTTTGCTTTGTCACTTCTCACTCTTAATACTGAGATGATTTGGGACCAGACTTTAATTCCACTAGGCCCCGCGTCCCTGCAACTAGGGCGTCACATCCACCTAGTCTAACCTGTTCACTGGAGACTCCTTCCCACCTTGCAAGTTCATCTGCGCAGGTCCAGGCTGCAGTAAGCAGATTGCAAAGGTGGTGATTTCCTTTGGGGTAGGACAACCACCAAGTATCCATACCATTGACTGTGTTTAAACACCCATTCCTCTCAGCTGCCTTGCTCCTCTCTCAGTATCTTTAAGCTTTGAGTCTGAACACGCGCCACGGATGTGAAAACGGACATTGTGACATTGCTTTTCTAAAGGCACTTAAATCCAACTCGTTCTCAGACCTGCCCTGGAAACACCCCATTCAGCACCTAGTTAAGAAAAACTGGAGCAGCCTTCTGAGAACAGAAAAGCGCAAAGTATTTTATTACTGTGACAGCTTGTTCATTTCAAACGCTCCACTCACAGCACGATCTTTAAAAGGAGCATCTAAACATGGCTGTGCCATGTTCTCTGTATCATCACCAGAATTCCAAAAAGCCACATGTCAATTACGAAGTCTAGAACTGGAAAAGTCCCATTATTGAGTACCCTTCCTTGTGTTGGGAGACTAGCAATGGGAATTTCTGTTGCACAATAAGCAGTTTGTGCAAGTGATTTGCATATGCATCTATTTCCTTCCAACATCTTTAAGAAAAATATTACACCTCTACCTTTTCATTAAAGGGCGAGTATAACTTCTTATACAAGTAGAACATCTTCAGTCTGGCACTCACTTGTCCAGCATGATCTTAGTTAGCTAGATGTCCACTTATAATGAGTGTGGCCAACTTTCCCGTGGTCCCACAAAGTTTCTTTACAGCCACCAGTCCTGGTTCTCAGTGTTCTGTGCTGTTATTTAGCTCTAATTTGCCCCTGAATGTCTTCTAAGGGCCCGGTAAGCAGTGGCAGAGTTGGGAATGCTGCTAGACAATACTGACCTCCCATGCTCCAGCAAAATTCTCTGGTTTGGTTCTGGTCAGGTCCCAAAGGTGCCAGACTAAAGAGGTTCAACCTGTATCATCAACATACTTTTAGAAAGATAGCAAAGGCCAATAAGTTATCAGGTATCTGGATCTTGCATTATGTCAGATCACCTGTGTAAGCGATTTTTTAAAGATTTTGACACTTTATGCATTTACCAATGGTGCTAAGTGCGTTCCTCTGAGGACGCACGTTGCTACACATCTTCAGGCACACACCTACTTGAATAAAAATCTGCTTTGCCCAGAAAAGGCGTTTTAGATGCCATTTTTGTGCATGTTCCAGGGGCTTGCTGTGTGAGTCACCAAACCTGAGCCCTGGTCGCTCCTTAAAGTTACAGCAAGGGCAGGTGTTACGGCTGCCAAAAAGCGTGGCGCAGCAGCCGATGCAATCGCATCCTGTAGTGCTAAGAAAAGTTCCTCTCCCACTGCGTTAGCTGAAAGGCTCAAAACAGAGGAAAAACTGTGAAACTGACTAGACGCAAAGCGCTGTCAAATGCAAAGAGGGAAATCACTTGGGTGTGCAATAAGATAAAACAGTTCAGTCCAAAGCGTGACTGGCGTTGGCTGTGTCCCTTTAACCTCATGTTTGCACTCCACAACCTACCTCGCAGCGGTGTTGTGAGGCTTAAGGAATGCCTGCTAAGTCCTTTGCTAATGCCTATCCAAGTATTTATTTGATAAATACGAAGTTATTCCTCTCTGCCTGGAGGGAGGCAACTGGCAAAAGCTTTTCACCAACACATTCTGGAGAGCTCCTTTTTGTTCTAAAGAGGGGAGACTTTGCGAAAGGCCTGAAATATGCTCAAATAACCTGAGCTTCTGCAGGGGCAGTCGGGCGGCATCTCTAGGGCTCGGTGCTACAAGCTCTGCTCGGCTTCCCCTCCCACGCCATCAGTGGGTCAGAATGCTCCTTGAAATACTGCACCACACAAACCGGGGTGCGCTGGTTCAATGCCGCGCACCACAAAACCAGACGCTGTCGCATGCACGTGCTCCGGATCAGTTCTGGGGTATAACTTTATTTTGACAAACATCCGCTTTACACGTGGCAGTAAACAGTAAACAGCTATTGACTCCCGCAAATGCGTTGCTCTGTGTTTCTTGCTTGCAATCCAGCAGAGGCCACAAGTGTTCCCTCCCCGCAACCCACATCCTAGGGCAGCTCTTACTACAGGTGTTGCCTTTTAAAAGAATGGAGTGCTCAGATAACGGTGTGGAGACAGCCCCACGGCAGACCACTGGTGTGAGGCTGAGATTCCCAACCACACCCAACTGGGTAGGAGCCACTTTGGCAGGGTGCTGCTAGACACCTGCTGGGGAACAAGATAAGATGCTCTCCATAGTAAAGAGCTAGTTTTATGGTTGCCTCCATACCCTGGATTAGCGAGACAGCCTGTTTCCCAGAATGCAACAAAGGGGGTTCAACAACAACAGTCAACTTATTCCCTTCCCCCCGTTTAAAGAAAACCTCCACAAACAGCACCCTACTGGCAACTCACTGGTCAGCAAGCAGTTCGCTATGCCACCCGGGCTCCTTCCAAGCTCGGCTTCGGCTCAGATCCAGTTTCCTCTTCCTGGTCCAGGTTCTCAGGCTGGAGCACGTCACCGCCTGAGACTCTCTGCTTCTTGTGCCGCAGGCCCAGAGCCCTGGTCACCAGCCTCCTGGCCACGGCGGTGTCTGTCTGGGGTCTCTCTTTCGCCAGCTGAAGGAGCTCTGCAGAACACAGATGAGCAATCAAGCAAAATGGTGGCGAGGGGGAAAGTCTCCCTAATTCAATCCTCTGATTGTGAGACTCCTAAACTACGTGACTGGGAGGAAGACGCTCTGGGCTTTGTTACCAGCTCTTCCCCAGAGGCACCAAGCAATTCCAGGCAAGTCATTCCACCTCTAGGTCTCCACCACTGTAATAGGCAGAGATTTCGAGGCAAAGTCTTATATTCAAGTGGCTTAAAAGCTGCTCCCTTCCTGCAGGGGTAGACACCAAGAAAACAAGTTTCAGTGTAAAAGTCTTAGAGGGGGAGCTGTGTTCATCTGGAACTTTAAAAAAAACAAGTAGTCCTGTAGCACCGTAGAGACTAACAAAAATAGAGAGTGAGAGTATCATGAGCTTTTGGGGACAAAACCCACTTCCTCGGGTGAGCAGAGTGGAGAACGAAGGGGAAACCTCACCATTTCTGTTCTTTTTCTGCTATAAATGGTGAAGTTCCCCCTTCTTTCTCCACTCTGCTCATCTGAAGAAGTGGGTTTTGCCTACAAAAGCTTGTGGTACTATAGCTATATATTTGTGTTAGTCTCTAAGACTATGTTTAAACTGCAACGCTAATTCGAGATACCGGAAGTATCCTGAAATAGCTACCCTGCGTCTTAACAGAAAGCCCGTTATTTTGAAATAGAACAGGCTCGTTATTCCAACATCCCTGTAAGCCTCATTCCATGAGGAGTAAGGGGCATTTTGGAATAGCAGGTTATTTCTAAATTAATTACGGAATAAGCTATTTCAAAATTGACTTGAAATAAGCTATGCAATTTGCGTAGCTCCAATTTTATAGCTTATTTCAAGCTACAGGTGTAGTGTAGATGCACCCTAAGGTGCTACAGGACTACTCCTTGATTTCAGTTTGGACACTTGCTCTGAAAGCCTCGTTATAACCCCACAGCATGGGAACGCCCAACCCTTCAACTGCTACGCTTTCATACATTTGAAAAGGCATTTTTTAAGGGCCCATTTGCCAGAAGTGACTGGCAAATGCTGCTTGTTCAAGTTTCAGAGCAGCTTACCCTAAATATATATATTTTTTAATTTACCAAATCCAAAACTTCAGGCTGAATAAGTCTTTATTTAGTGTACAGTGGAGTTGATGGCACTATAGTTATTTAACTGTTTGCAGACTTGAAGTTATCCAGTGAGCATTCTGATCTTTGCTTGAGCTGCTAAATTGTTTTTAAAAGAACCCCAAAGAAAGCCCAACGGCAGGGAAGAAAAAAAAACCCACACGTGTGGGACAGATTCAACATATCCCCAGCTTGAAAAATAAATTGCCAATTATTCTTGACAAGGTTTTAAAGGAGACACAGTCAACTAATTTAATTAAAAATAAAATTTTGCTCAGATTCAAACAAACATTCCTCTCCACCGTAAATCTCCTACCCCGAGCCTAGTGCGTGAGAATCAGGAAGTAAAATAGGTGAGTCCCCTCACCAGATGAGAGTAACATGGGAAAAGCAAACCAGAGTCTTTGACATTTCAGTCTTAAGAATCTCTAGCCATGCTAGAGTCAGGAAGTGCCAGTATCCTTTTAAATCATCAATACTGAAATTTGTGTTGACTGCAATGTACTGTATAAAAGCAGTATAATTATATGTACAGTAAAATCTTTATATGGCTACAAGATTCATGGCATTTTTCACTTATTGCGGCAAGCGTAACTGATTACAGTGTGATTTTAAAAAGCAATACAATGAACTGAATGTTAACTATCAATGGCTAAGCTTAAACAACAATTTTATCTGCGGCTGCTATTGAATAATAAAACGATGCCAACCACAAAGAACTAACTGCTACTGGTTTCATTTTTATCCGTGATTTGTTTAATTGTTTGAACTAATTAGTGGGGGGTGGAGGAAATATACCATGAGTCTCTATTAACATATATGCCCCACTTCTGGATCCTCATATTAGTGGTTGAAATGGATCTCATTCCTTAATGCTACGTACTCTTCATACAACTGAAACAAGTGGCATAGAAAAAATGGTCCTCGATTCAGCAAAGAGCATAAGCATATGCAGATGCCCCACTAAAAACAATGGAATTTAAGCATGTACTTTCATGCGGATTCAGGGTCTTAATATGGCTACAGGAGGGAAGCAGCAAAGACTCAATCTTTCAAGCAATCCCATCTGCATTATCTCCCTTGCGGTCACCCTAGTTCGACCCCCAGAACGTTTGGCACTTTCTACGGAAGCCAGTGGGAATTTTGACCGTACCAGAGAGCAGAGCTGGGTCCGGTGTTACTGAAATGTCTCCTGCTGTGACTTACCAGCTCTCAAAAGGATATTTGCTGATACTGTGTTCAGCAGCAGGGGGCATTTAACAGAGGACGCATGTGGAACAAAGTTACAGTATGTAACAGGCTACGGACAAGATTTTCAAGTCTGAATATTTGACCTGCAGCTCACTGAAAATCAGAGCTGTAAGTGAAAAGCAACTGTAGGCACCCAACTTTTAAAATGTTGGCCTATGCTAAAAAATTATCTGATGCACATTTTTTTAAAAGTCTCTTCCCCTGCATGCTTTGACTTCCTGTTAAACACACAAGACTACTCATTGATCATTAAGGCAACAAATATCTGAGATGTGCCATAAGTCAGAAAAATGACCTGCAATAAGACTGAGGGGTGGTGTGTTAATTAGGAGTATGAAAGTATAACTATATACATGGTGAACCAATGAGTGCAGGCTCATCAGTTAACGTGTACAGATACACTCAGGCTCCTCCCTCGCCATCTGCACTGCTGCTTCTGTATCAAAGGCAGCAGCACAGGAGCCAGGCGGGAGCCAATTCTTAAAAGCCAGCTCCCTGTGTGCATCGACTCCCAGGGAGCCCCCTGCCACGCCCACCTGTAAACGTGTAAGCGCAGTTGAGCAGTTACACGTTTACTTTAATAAATGCATCTTAACATCCCTAGCGTTAATATTCTTATTCCACCACGGATGTGCTCCCCTTCGGGGTCACCTTCCTAATCTACAGATTCCCACTGGATTCTTTCTGCTTCTGGCATCATAACTAGAAATATTCCACAAGCAGAACTAAGGTAACAATTGAGGATGCATAAGGCCCAACAGAATTCAGCTCAAACTCCTGCATCACAACAGTGCCAATAAAGCCACAAGGAGTTTACTGTTCTTAAAGCAGTGACAGTCTTTAGTGTGGGCTTGTTAATTATACTGGATTTGAAAGTAAGTTAATCACAGGAATAACTGGTAGGAGATATTTAAAATAAAAGACCAAAAACAAAATCACAGGTTTCTTACTGGGTCGCTGAAGTGCCTTGATTTTAGACTGTCTCGTCCCATGGATCAAGGATCGGATCTTCAGAGAAGGATAACTCTGTCCCAAGGCCTGAGATGCTTCAAACAATAAAGATCGCAAAGGTCAGGATGGATTTTTGTAACTCCAGATCCTCAGCTGCTTTAAAGCTGGACAGCGCCATTCCGCTCAATGGCGCGCCACTTTTTTATCTCCGCTGAGGATCTTGCCCAAGGTGTTTAGCGGAACAGCAGAATTTGGTCGATTCACTCAGCCATAGAATCCTGCAGTCTGGGGGAGGAAGGGGGGGTGGAGGGGGAGGGAAGAGAGGGGGGAACGGCCAGGGTGTGTCTAGACTACAGGGTTTTGTCGACAAAACTATACCTGCGTCTACACTACCTACTGTCAACAGAACTCGGCAGTTTTGTCGACGGAGGTAAACCTCATTCTACGAGGAATAACGCCTTTCAACGACAGAATTCTGTCGACAGAAGGCGTTATTGCATCTACACTGTCCTTTGCGTCTACACTCTCATGTCGACCAAGCGGCTTGCTTTGTCGACAGAACTGGATGCAGTCTAGACGCTCTTTGTCGACAGTCTCTGTCAACAAAGCCCCTGTCAACAAAAGCCTGTCGTCTAGACGTACCCCCAGTGACGTTCATAAACATTTTTTGGGGGGTGGGTCAAAGATGACAGGATCAGGCCCTATCCATAGAATGAAGGCTCAGGCAGAGCCAGACATGAACAGCTCGAAGGAATGATCTGAGGTGACGCACAGGAGAGGCATCAGCTCGATGGAAGGTCAGGTACATGCCCTGGATCTCAGAAGGGATTCATGCTCTCCACAGAGGGTCACAAGTCCCTTTTGTTCTAGACCTGCTAGAATTTTGTTCATTTTCAAGAATACGCTCCATTGGCACGATGGATTAGTTTCTAAAATGCAAACTGAGACGCACACTAAGTCTTATTCAGGGAGTCCCACAGCCTGTTTATTACCCAAGCCACTTAAAACCTGCTAAGCAGCATTTCTAGAGAATAGGTAATTAACAGAGATCACCAGTAATCATAGAATACTAGAAATGGAAGGGACCTTGAAAAGTAAAGTCCAGTCCCCTGCCCTCACGGCAGGACCAAGCACCAGCTAGAGTTCTAGACCATTCATGACAGATGTTTTGCTCACCTGATTTTACATAGCCACAATGATGGAGATACCACAAACTCCTTAAGCAATGTATTCCAGTGTTTAACCACCCTGACAGTTAGGAAGTGTTTCCTAATGTCCAACCTTGCTGCAATTTAAGCCCATGAGAGGTCAAGGAAAATAATTTTTCTCCCTCCTTGTAGCACTCTTTTAGGTACTTGAAAGCTGTTGTGTCCCCTTTCAGTCTTCTCTTTTTCCAACTAAGCAAACCCAGTTCTTTCACTCTTCCCTCATATGTCATGTTTTCTAGACCTTTAATCTTTTTTGTTGCTCTTCTCTGGACCTTTTCCAATTTGTCCCCAATTTTTCCAGAAGCATGCCACCCAGAATAGGACACAATACTCCAGCTGAGGCCTAATCAGTGCAGAGTAGAGCGGAAGAATGACTTCTCGTGTCTGGCTTACAACACTCCTGTTAATACACAATCCTAATGCAGAACTAGTGCTATGTTCTTAAATGAGAAGATGCTCTTGTGTTTTAAAGAAGATTTCAAGGATGGGGAAGTGGGGAGGGGCAGGGCCGAGAATGGGCATTCATGGTTTGCACCTGCTTCGATTCAGTGCTGGAATGACTTGACATGCACTATCAGCTGTATCTTCAATGCCTGTGACAGAAGGTTGCTTCATTCAGGGATTAGGGCACCAGAGAGTGGGAGAAAGCCTGTGAGGGTGATAAGGAGCTCTCCATACCGAGAGGCTACTCTAGACTGCAGTGTTAAATTGGAAAAAGGTACGAAATTTGCATGCTGCAAACTGCGTATCTTTTTCTGATTTACTTTCAAAAGAGGCTTTTCCGAAATTTGGTGCAAGTACATGGCGCCAAATTTCGGAAAAAAGTGCTCTTTTGACACATCCCTTATGCCTCGTAGAACGAGGTTTACAGGGATGGCAAAAGAACGCATCCACTTTTTCCAATATTTTTCAAAAAAGCGGATGTGTTCCTTGGACGCGGGATACCTCTGGTATCCCGGAAAAGCAATGCAGTCTACATAGAGCCAGAGAGGGGAAATGGATTTATTTTAAACCACCAATAAGAATATAGGATTTGAGCATAAACTGGCTGTAATGCAGAATACAATTTACTTACCAATACCACACTATGGACTTGGCTTTTTCACATTCCACACTACCAAAAGGAAGAGGGTATCTTCCTTTTAGACACAGGAACCCAGTGACACTGGAATTCAGATTACAGGGCAAGTGGAATTTTAAGGCTCCGCAGCTATATACCAACCAACACTGGTGAAGGCCTGCCCAGGTGGCAGATTGCTAGCATCACAGCAAAGAATCAAGTCACATTACCTGCTGCCAGACTGGAAAAGATACCCAGGGCGTGTGTGTCATCGACCCACTGAATTTTGAAACCACTCTTGCTAAAAAGAAAAAGGAAAGCAACACCATAAATAGTCATCTCAGTATTAGGGGAGCTTTTCACCCATCGATACCCCGTGCTTTACAAAGCATCAGCCCCTTTTTACAAGAGGCAGAAGAGAAAAATAGAGGGGTTAAGTGGAACTTACCCAAGGTCACATGGTGACTGAATAGAAGAGGAGAGAATAGAATCCACATGTCCTGAACTAGGCATGTTAAATATCGGTTAATTGAATTGTCGATTAACCTCATGAATTCTTATCGGTTTCTGGACTATTCTATAGCCCCCGGAGGCAGGGCCGGCAGCCAGTGCGCTCTGGCCCCACTCTCGAAGAGCCCCCTGCCACTCCTGACTGCCCAGCCCGAATTAGAACTGAGCCGGGCTGCCTGCCCACCTGGCTCCTAATACACTTTAAATGCAGAGCAGCAGCGGGGGTAGGTCCCAGACCTGGCATGAGCCAGGACTGAGCTGGGCTGCAGGCCAGCCTGCTAACAAATTTACTGGGAGGAGGGTGGGAAGGGAAATAGCATTAACCTATAAGCTTTTGCTTACTGATTAATCGACTACACTATTACATCCTTATCCTGAACCCCATTTAAGTGCCCTCCCACCAGAAACTTGCTGCTCCCTCCCGCCCAAAGTAAACTACGCTTCTTTGAAAGCAACACTTAGTACTTTCTATTACAATTCCTAAACCTGGGATTTAAATTAAACTAAGTATTAGGATTCTGAATTAGGGGTATTAACGGGTCGCTGGTTAAACGGGTGATGCTTAACTGATACCAGGAGCAGTCGCCGCGGAGGGGAGGGGGTGGCCAGACTGGAGCAGCCCCAGTCTAGTCTGACCTGAGCAGGCAAGGGGGGGGCTGCTTTCAGCCCCACTGGAGTGCCCCTCCCTTCGCACACCCCTTTAACCAGTGAAACGCAACATCAGCCCTGCATGTAACCGGGATTTTTCATCCCTAGTCTGAATCACTGTGCAACTGATAAACGATTGCTCCGATGTCACTAGGCACGTGGGTGCCCGAAGTGCATGCGTCAGAAAGGGATACCGAAAAGGCGGCACAAAAATCTAAATGGGAGAGTTTTTAACTGCATGGAAACCAACCGATGCTCAGTTAAAACTTTTTTTTTCCTGAGCTGCATTTCAAAGGTTTCCCCAGCAGCTCTGGAAACATAAATGCCGTTGCTTTGTGCTAGGGGCATGAGAATTAGAAAACGATCAGTTTAATTTTAATGGTAACATTCAGCCCAATGTCACTATCAGAGCTATGTGCACACAGGAACACAGAGGAGACAGTAAGAAGTAGCTAAATCTTTAGAAGCATTACTCTCAGGCTAACAGGGCTCATACAGAAACTTAACGCCATCCTGTTCCGTACGCTGAGATAGTAGTAGGGGAGGGGAAGAGCACGTATCTGTCTACAGATACTTATATCAAACCGATTTTGCAGAATGGACATGGTGTCCTAGAGATACGCTGGTCACAACCCACAGGTAAAGAGATGAATTTTGTTCTGATAAAATAATCCATACACTCCTTAAGGAGATGTTATTGTACTACCATCTGTGCGAGACAAGCCATTGCAAAGCAAGGACCCAACCCTTACTGCGTTTTCAGCAGAGAAGCCAAGCTGAACTCCAATCCAAGTGTGCAATTTTACTCGGGAAGTCATGCACGACAGTGGCAAGGAACATTTAAGGAAAGACTGTCCACTCGTTAGGACATTAGCCTAGAACTTGGGAGAGCTGGGTTCAGTTCCCGGCTCTGCCACAGTCTTCTCTGACCTTGGGCAAGACACTTAGCCTCCATGAGGCAGGGAACTGGGGTATTGTGAAGATAATTATATTAACCATTGTGAAGCACAGAGATTTACTGATGAAAGGTCTCAACTATAAAATTATTAGATAAGCACTTAGCTAACAAGCAATCCCATTGAAGTCCATATGGTACTCACATGAGTAAAGTCATGCACCTTTGTAAATGATGCCGAAAGAATCATTAATTTAAAAAAAAAAAAAAAAGCATAATAAATTATATAGAAATCTTCCTCTGGGATCAGAAACAGGGAATATTACGACCAGGCCACCTAGCTCTTACAGAGCACCTTTCTGCTGCACATCTCAGAAAGCTTTACAAAGGTGAGTATCCTCATCTCCATTTTACAGATGGGGAAACGGAGGCTCGGAGTAGCAAAGTGACATGCCCCAGGTCACCTAGGAGGCCAGTGGCAGAGCCAGGAATATAACCCAGATCTGCTGAGGCCCTGTTCAGCACTCTAGCCACTAAAAGCAACGCGAGGACAGAACTGAAATGCAGTGAAACTGCATCAGATTCTTACACAGGCTCTAGACACAATTTATACCGTGCCCGCGAGGCAGCATCCTGCTCACTTCATCCAGGCAAGCAGGACGCACGGGGAGCAGGAACGGCCCTGTGCTGAGGCAGGTACTTACTGGAACTCTGAAAACGCTTCCATCAGATGCTCCGTTTTCAGGGATGGCGAGAAGTCGTAGATCTCGATAACGTGTCCAAAGTCTCCCTCGTTGATCTGTGCGTCCCCGTAGCTGGAATAGTCAAACTGGATCTTCTCGATGGTTATGTCCTTCACAGTCACATAGGCTGCAATCTGGGAGGAGAAGAGCGTTAGAGGTCAAAGTGCGTTTCTAACGCTGCAGGAGAAGCCAGTGAGCAAGGACACTGAGGGGGTCTTCAAAAACGCAACATGCTATCAAGCACAGAGCGTACCTGGGCATTTTACGTATATAGGGGCTAGGGCACAGAGCTTGAGATTCAGTTCCGTGCTCTGCTACTGCCCTGGGGTGTGACCTTGAGTCAATCACTTAACCACTCTGTGCCTCAGTTCCCCACCTGTACCAGGGGGCTAACAGCACAGCCGTGCCTTGTCAGAGCAATGCAATAAAGATTGCGAGATGCTCCAACACTACGGGAATCGGAGCCACACAAGATGCTTAGGCCGGACCACTCCGAAAATGGCATAACCAGATTAGCCACCAGCCTTCCCCTACATGTTGCCCCAACCAACAAGTTTCCACCCTGCTAGAGGTTGGGGGGGGAGGGGAGGATCAGCTCCCAAAGCACGTTCAGTGTTTGGCCTGTGCTGTTCAACAGATCCATTAGCAGCAGGAGGGCTGAGAGGGGGAACTTTTTGGCTGCAAAAAAATGGATCGACTCCCACCTCTGTGCACCACTCTACCCGCCCCCTGAGCCTTCCCCTCCTCAAGTCATTCTACAGTCAGGCTGGATTATACTGGACTAGAAGACCTCTCGAGGGCCCTTCCAATCCTACCATTCTGTAATTGTTACATGGTTCAATAAAAGCCGTCGGGAGCCATAAGCAGAGGGAGGCCAGAGCCATGACAAGGGGCACCTCAAGGCTCCTCTTCTCCCTTTGAGAAGATGCCAGGGCCCATTACACTCACTGCCACATCTCTAAGTCACAGCTCTCCCTGGTCATCCCTCTCAGGTCCAGCCAAGCAAGATTCACACCAAAACTTTTACCTCTTGCAAGAGTTCGGCATCAGAGTCCTCCTCTAGGCGGGCCCCCTCCTGCTCATTCACTGCCGGGTTTTCCGTGTCTTTCTCCTCCACAGATAATTCCAACCCGCACCGCAGTCTGCCCGCCAGGACTGTACAGTCTTCATCCCGGTCTTCTGGGAGCAACACCCGGCCCGGAACAGAGGTATCCATGCGGAGCTTATCCTGGTCAGCTGGTATAGACGGGCTCTTACCACACTCCATCCCAGGGGTATCCATACATCTTGGATGCGGGTCTTCTGGGAGACTTTGGTTTTGGCTGCACTCACGTACGATGGTGTCGGTACACCCCTCCCCCTGGTTTTCTAGCACTGAAAAGGTCTTGCTTTCTTCCAACAGAGAGGCGTCCACAGACTCTTTATTCTGCCCTTCTGGAAGGGAGAGGTTTTTGCTACACTCTGAGAAAGGCTGTACAAATGCCACTGTATCCTGATTTCCTAAGACTGGTAAGTTTTCACTACACTCCGGTACACTGGCATCCATGGTGTCTTTATCTTGATCTTCTACCTGGTGTAGATTTTTGCTACCCTCCGATACAGTGGAATTTGTGCTGCGGTCGTCCTGGTCTTCTGGTTGGGAGAGTGGTTTGCTGCAAGGGCCATCAGACCTGTCTTTATCCTGGCTCTCCAATATGGAAAGGTTTCTGGTGCACTCCAGCAAAGGGGCATCTGAACAGTCCACTGGACACTTGTTACTGTTATCTCCACTGACTTCACCCGTAATATGTTCTTCATATGCCTCTCTAAGGCCCTGGACTTCAGGAAGTTCCTTGCCAGGCTCTGGATCGATATTACTTGCGACCCTGCTGGAATCTGTAGTGCCCTCAAAGTTACCTAACTCTTCTGGGGTCCCTTCCTCTTGCACCACCCCAACATCTGGTTCATCTCTGGCTGCCGCCGCTGCTGGGCTTTGGTTTTGCAGCTCCTCCCGTTTTTCACGCATCCCCCTGGGGACATACAAAGCTTTATCCGGCTTTCTCCGGGGCGGCCGCCTGGGCCTGCCGATTCCTCGGTTGACTCGAGAGCCATCGGTAGGCAGCTCTGCGTTGCGCGGCCCTGCGGCTCTGCCACCCCTGCTTCGTGCCTGGAGAGGGCGGTGAGCTCTCGCCGTGTTGCCGCAGGAACCGTTTTGATCGCCAGCCTCCTCAGGCAACCTAGCGCCAAAAGAAGCAGGGAAACACATGATGTGCTGGGAGGCTTTGCGCCGCGAGCAAACTTCCGCTTTCCCTCCAGCCTATCACAAGTCAGCGTTATTGATAAGAGCCAATGTACAACCACACTCCCACCGTCACCAGCGTGCATGTGTCCCTCACAGCAGCACAGCCTGTCTGCGGCCCCAGATCACCTGCATCTGTGCGGAGCGGCCAGAGCCACGAGGTCACTGGCTCCGCATCTTGCTCCGCATCTTCCTCTCCAGCTGCTTCCACGAGCTCTAGGCTCTTCATCACAAGGGAGCCTGCAGGCCTGTCTAAGCAGCCGAAGAGGAGGAGGAGTCGTTCTAGCAGGTTGTGCGACACAGGAGGACGGGGCCCCAGAGAGGAACGCCCAGGGAAGGAGGAGAAAAAGGAAAGTAGCAGTTGGACAGGACGTCCAGGGCACAGCAGGAGAAAAGACCAAGAGTTCAGCTACAGGCATGTGGAAGCGGGAACCAAGCACTTGCAGTAGGGATGTGAGCGGATAACCAGTTAACTGATTAACCAGTAAGCATCACACTGTACGGGTGACGCTTACCGGGTAACAGTTAACCAGTACGTGTGAACAGCCCTCAGCAGGGGCCAGGACAGCCCCACTGCCCGATCCCTCGGGCTGCAGCAGGTCCCCCTTTCATCGGTTACCTAGTTACACACTAGGTTTCACTGGTTAGCCAATTAAATGGGATTTTACATCCCTAACATGCAGTAGGGATGACAAGAGACCAGGTGGCAGGAGCATGAGGAGCAAGCGATGAGAAGAGGAAACTAGAAGCCGCTCATTCAGAAGCTGGGCTATGCTGGTCCGTCATCAGCATCATCACGAACTGCCCATAAAGCGAGGGACAGATCACTGGGCTCTAATTCCTGATGGAAAAAAAATCCTTAGACCTTCTCCTATTCAATGGGACAGCACCGGAACAGCCGCTTCAAACGCTCACCCTGCAGAAGCCTGCACCAGCTAACAGTATAGTGACGTGTCTCCTGTTTCCTTTTGACAGGTTGGTGCAGCCTGTCCACTTACATTTGGCCCAACACTGGATTTCTGATGAATCCCAAAGATTTAACAGGAATTTTTCTACCGTTAAAAAAAAGGGGGGGGGAGGGGAGGGTCAGGAAAAACAATTACAACAAATATTCATCTCACACAGGGACTCTGATTGGACACTGCAGCACCAAGATGCTTCCCTGCCTCCGTCTAGCGTCCCCTCTATCCAAGGAAAAGACACATCACAGCCAGCGTTCCCTCTAATGTTTATGTACCACCTCCATTTTGGCGCACATAACAAAAGTAATGTCTCACATGGGCAGTGTGTGATAGGGTGGGGCTGAGGGATGGGAGGAGGCTAGGGCAGAGGGTCGGGGTGCAGGCTCTGGGATGGGGCTAAGGATGAAGAGTTGGGGTGTAGCCAGCCCTCTCACCGCAGCAGCTCAGGGCCTGGTGAGGGGCGCCTCTCTACTACCTCAGCAGCTCCTACAAGAGAGGCTCCTTTCCCCCAGCCAGGGCAGGTGGGACCAGGCTGGGTGGGGGCCAGAGAAGGGACACCTTTGCCCCAGCCGCGACAGCTCTGGGTTGGGGCCAGTGAGTACATGTGCCACTGCCCTGGCCGCTACAGGACCTGGGGAGGGCCTGAGCCCCTGTGTGGGGCTTACTAGACAGTGCTTGACCACGCATCTTAGAGAGAACTTAGATCACAGCTACTCACTTTGCATCCATGCAGACACCGACTAACACTTACAGAGACCCAGTCAGCTCACTATTGACTCAGAATTTTTTTTAAAAAATGCTTCTACAGCAGCTGCGCCCAGCTCACATGTGGGAATGCCCGTGCTGCTGTCTGAGGTGGTAAGAGGAACTTTTGTTTTTTAAACACATAAAAACATTCCCCTGGATGTTTTTGCAACCGAAAACACTGCAGCAGAGCGTGTGTGCAAACAAAAATGACTGTGCAAAAACATGAGTGATTCTGCTGATTCATCACAGAAAGGGCAGATTAAAACGAAAGTGACCCAACAGCATAAATTACTGACAAACTCGGGTTTTAACCCTCTTAAAGGGCTCAGAACAAATAGATATTGGCTTACTATATAGGACTGTTACGCTGACAGCGTCCCTTTCGTAAGGTTAAGTAACTTGTCCGAGATTGCAGAGGGAACAAGAAGAACAAGAATGGAATTCAAGAGGCCTAACACTGCTTTAACCACTAGAGAACACTTCCTTCCAGTTCAGGGAAAAGAACCCCGCGCTCTGGATTCCTTGTTGCGTACATGGTGCATAGATTTCAGGAGTCCTGACTCCCTGCACTAACCATTAGACAATACTCCCTTTCCAAGTTAGGTATAGAACCTGATTCCCCATCCTTTGCTCCAACTCGACTGAACTCCCTTGCCTTACACATCAGAACAGAATTAACCGCATTACAAAAACTCTTCGTATTCACTACAAAGCGTAGCAGCGTGGCGGTTGCCCTGGCTTCACTTTGACAAGCTCTGATATCACCCCCTGTCTCCCAAGTGTACTGCTTGAACCCCAACGGGTGACGTGACCCACAGTTGTAAATTCAAGCCTACTGAGTGAATTGAGGATGACTCATTTTGTTGTATAAGTGTGCGTCTGACAGTCAGGACTCCTGGGTTCTTTTCACAACTGATTCACCATGTGGCTTTGGCTAGTCCCTTCACCGTGCACTGCCTTTTGCTGTATCTGCAGAATGGGGAGAAAGTCTCCCTGCACTCCAGAGAGGATGGCTAAGTGCATTGCTGCGCACAGCACCATGTACCTGTCATACCTTATGACTGAGTGACATATGACAGTCCTCCTCTTCCATCCTTCCCCGACAGAAAAGCTGCTTAACAAAGCGACATTGTCCACGTTCCTGTGGATCAGGTACCTGAGGCGGCTGGACAGCGGGGGGAACAAGAGAACTCTGAAAAAGGAAAACAGACAGGGGATTGTCAGCTTGGAGTAGGAGGGACAGCGGGCAGTGTACATCCTCAATAGTGACTCCCCAGTTACTTCTGGAGTGGGGTCTTAATTCCATTCGCAGTGGCCAGCTACATACTGAGGCATCAAGATGGGAGGAGGGGAGCTTTGTGTTAATCGTTTAATCGTTCCCACTAACACATGCCTTGTCAAGACCTGTCAATATGGCACCTTTCTCTGGGGCACAGTGTCTAGAGAAACCCTTCAGAAATTAGCAGGTCAGGAAAAAAGAGACACTGTATCACAATGCCTGGCATTTACACCCCTCCAAAGTCAGATCTAGTTTCACTCACAGATACCTTGCAACAGGACTTAACGAATAGCTTCTTCAATCTAAAATATTGTAATAAGTAACCAATCCAAGCAGCTGCCATCCAGGCAAGTCTACTGGGAACACAGCGTTCCTTTCTCACTTCTAGCTGCTACTCTCGCACATAAGCTCACGCAGATAGGCAAAAAGTGCTCAGCAAAGACCCAGAGTAGTTCATCATGCCCTATGATAGTTTTCCACTGGGCCAAAGAACACTGTGCGCAGGAAGGAGCTGATGAAAAATGGTTCAATCTTAAGCCATTGGTAATAATCCACCAAACTGGGACAGCAAGTGAACAAGGCCCAGAAGTGGCCATGGCCAATGCAGCCAGCCTCCAGGATTATTCCACTCAAGGAAAAGTAATAGATTTTTGGGGAGGGGGGATGACAAAACTCAACGTACAAAATCCCTGCACTTTGGGGAAATGCACATTCAAGCTCCAACTTTGTAACTGACCCCACTTGCTGTGATGGCCCAAGCAAGAATCCTGTGCATGTGTGTTCAGGACACAGGATCTGGCTCCAAATGATGCAACTGAGCTTCAATCTCTAATAAAATCTTTCCTCCTGGAGGGCCCATCTGAAATTGCAGACATCCAGCAGCCGAGAAATGCAGCCACCTCTGGGTGGAACATGTCGCCGCCTCCCCCCATGGCACAAGCATCGTGCAGGACAAAAGGAAAAAGGGACACTTTTGATCACAAACATCTTATTGTTCACATGGGGCAAATAGGGCACAGGTTCAATGACCCTGGTCTGAAATTTTCCACGATGCAAACAGCACAACATAAGCCACCTACTTTTCATGCTGGCTTTGGAGCAGAAAACGGTCTAGTTCCTCAGTGACCTTGCAGACGAAGTCGTTCTCGCTGGGGGAGAGGAAGACGCCATCCAAGCAGTGCAGCGCCAGGGTGACAGCGGGGAGGTGGCCTGATGGAGGGTGGGAGGCAAAGGGGAGAGAGGTCGTATAAATGCTTTAGATCGGGCGTGGGGAACCTAAGGCGCAGGGGCTGGATGCGGCCCCCAGTTTTCCTGGATCCGGCCCCCAAGGCTCAGAGCTGCCCCCCAGCAATGGGGAGCCCACGCTGGCGTTCCAGCCCCCCTGCTGTCCCACCCTGGGGCTGGAGCACACAAAATCTACTAGTCTGAGCCCCCCCCCAAAGCTCTGGTGTGTGAGGGGAAGGTGGAGAAGGGCTTTCTCCTTTTCACTTGAGACCACGCCAGGGAGGGTTTGGTTTTTCTTTTTCGCTTTTCACTTGTGTGCGGCCCCCAGCTGATTTTTCTGCAAATCAGCTGCCCCTGACCCAGAAGAGGTTCCC